GTAGGTTGAGCATAATAGCTTATATGCTATACATGTTTTAGGTACTAATAGAATAATAAAGCTGTGGTGATTTTGAGCAGTTACCTCCGAGTGCATCTACTATTGCAAGTCAATAAATAAACATGACCTTTGCTGTTATCATTAGTTACTAGCTCACTGTAATGCGGCGTTTCCTCATCGTTTTTGTTCCGTACTTGTTTTTGTCCTGTGATAGTTCCGAAGCTGGTTACAGTTGGTTCGCATGATACTAATGAAAAGGGTCAAGAAATTATAAACGGGCTCGAATCAATTAATAGCGTAACGAATACAAAACCGCACTAAAGAGTCGGTTTTTCTCGACGTTGTCAATATCTCTTTCGCCGACTGCCAGCTCACTGCGATGCACCTGCGCCATATTCACAAGCTCAAACAAAGGTGCCCGGGACGCTCTTGACCAAGCAGCCGAGACATGAGAGAGCGCAGGATCTCATCTGTGTGGAGATTGCCAGAGACACGGGGAAGGAACCATGCATGGTGGGCTAGTTATAACTTGTAACTAATTCGTATCACCCATTGCACGCGCGGACTCAAGTCCTTCCGAGCACCACAACGTATCAATATTGTGACCAAAACAAATTAGCAAATCCGTCCTCCCAGGCACCCTTTCGGGTAATAACTGGGCTTTCAATTGCGTGGCTTTGGTAGGATGCTATGTTACGGCAGCATCCGCTACTTTAGCCTGCTCCGGATTTTCTGTCAATCTCCGGGGTGCAGCGGGCTAGAAAGGGGAAAGGCTAGAAGCGTAAACTGCGGCATGATTACCTCTCCGCGGAGTCTCTTTGATCCCGGTCTTTGATTTTATTGCTCAATTGTGTGACAGCTTTCCCAGATCCTGCAGTTATAGCCACCGGAAGCCAAGCCTACGCTTGGGCTTCCCTTGGCCGGGCGCCTCAACTGAGTTCCGTATTGGGAAACTTGAATGCCATCGAAACGTCGCGCATGATGAGAGCCCACACCACCGTAAATTTTTGACATTACAGTAAACCACTTCACAAACCGTACAACTAGTCCGATGCGCTAGTAAGTTGACTGCAGAGTTGCCCATGCAACCATACCCCGCAGGCTGAGGCCCGAACCTCAGCTTGCGCCTTGATGTTTAAAAGGGATCGCCTCCCAATATTGTAAATTACCGTAGTTTTCTGTATTCTTGATATTATAGAGTTTCCGACTTTGCTTGCAGTCATGCTCGTTCCGTTCGCGGCTACGCTTGCCGCTGCCCTTGGCCTGGCATCAACTGCTTCCGCAGCAGCAATTCAGGCTTGCCGCGCAGCCCCGGTGCCTTCATCATGCGCCTCCTACAGTAGGGCAACCAACGTTCAAGAATAACAGTGAAGAGTAGAATTTCTGGCTAACAGAGTCGGAAAGCCATCATCAATGCGCGCGGCACCTCTGAGGCTCAGGGCGAATCGGTCGGCTTCAAGACTATGAATCAAAAGGTTTTGGCTGAACGTTCCGGTGGAAAAGTAGTATGTATGACGCCTTTTTAGGACGAAATGATTGCTGACAGTTTTCACACAGTACGACGTTGTCTATGCCGCCAATTGGTTCCAAATCAGCGCACCAGGCACAAAGGATGTGAGTTTGCTTGTCTTTCGAGCTGCGTTTGCCGAGTTTTTAAAAAAACGTGAATACTAACTTCGGGGGCGGCTTTTCAGTTGATCGACCAGGTTGGCAAGATTCTTGCACAAAACCCATCCGAGTGTCTGATCCTCGAGGGCTACTCGCAAGGCGCGACCGTGGTCGTCGATGCTCTGCGCAAGCTGACTGGCCCCGCCTTTGATGCTGTCAAGGGTGTTTTCCTCATTGGAAACACGAGGCACGAACGTGGCCTTGCTTGCAATGTTGATATGCAGGGCGGCGACAAGACAAAGTATACAACAGGAATCCTCTATCTACCAGGACTGGGTATTCCCACGGATTGGGTTCCCAAAACGCTTGATGTTTGCAACGTAGTAAGTAAACTCTTTTTCCTCTGTTTCTGTGAGAGCAAGGTAACTCAATGACTAACTTGCAACAGGGCGACTCGGTTTGCGACGTCGATTCGGGACGTGGTACTCTCATCACAGATCAGCATATGGCGTATCCCACGGATGCGGGCCTGCAAGACATGGGGGCCAAGTTTTTGCTGAAGCAGCTGAGTTGAGCAACGACACAATGGCACGAACAAACAGGGTGCTCTATTTTGGACATGTATTACTTTACATACCGTGTTATGCCTTTCAAAAGCACATACCGTCACAGTACTAGCCTGAAACTTCGATATCGCCAGTGGCAGACAGACTATAGACGCAAATGAATAAAATCATCAAGGTTATCTCGCTGGCCAGCGTTTTATGATCTGGTACTCATCACCGACAATACATATTTTGTGTTTAGGTGCTTACTTGCTCTGTTGTCACAACACTCTGCGTGGTGATACCGACGCACCACTGCAGTTTCTGCTCTGCATCATAAAGCTCAATTTAGTTATTACGGAACAAAGTAGCCTCAAGAATCCAAGGAATCATTGATGATGATGACGTTATCAGAGGTACGCTGAGCGTCGTCACACTGCGACAGCGCTCGCACAATGTCTCGGCTTATGCTGCAATTTTTACAATGTCTCATCGGCTGCAACTCTACCCACTGGAGGCACAACGTCGCGAAGCACAAGGCTGTGTGCGATCCGCTTGCGTCGCCTTCATCGACACCTACATGAACCGCCTTGTTCGTCCCGGTCGGCAGCCACCCGAACATTGTCCTGCAGGCCAAAATGACAGCTACGAGCTGACCCATCAGGCACACCCAACCGACTCCTACCTACAAAGGAACTCGCTGCGGATCCGGCCCATGCACGGATACGCAGTCTGCCAGTGGGCTCATCAACTGCTATCTACCATATAAAATGGACAATCAAAAAGTTTCGAGAAACATGATGCATGTGCTGCTGGAAAAGGCCTTCGCGATGGTGGCCACTCCGGCCCCTGAGTTTGGCCTGCACAGCGCGCACGGGCAGGGCCGTGCTGGGAGGCGATGCACTTGGCGCTTCCAACCTGCCGCGCAACGCGGATTTCAGCGTCGACAACGTGGTACGATTCAGGTATGAGTATGCAGGTGGTGCGGCTAACTATGGATATGTTGTGCTCTTCAGCCGCGTACATTTTCGGGCCGTGCACCCCAAAAGTCCGTCGTGTCTCTACAAAAGGCGACTACAAGTCTTTTGGAGGCGGGACGGGGTCTTTTATGACCTTCTTCTTAACCGATTTTCGCGGCCATGTCGTGCTCGATTCGGTGTGACTTTGGTGCAGCCCAAGCTCGCGCAATTGAATACCAGGAAAAAAAGAAAACGAAAGGGCAAAATTACTGGCGCAAAGAATCTTTTTTTCGTTAAGCAAGTAGGGTAGTGCCTGTTGGGAGACGTAGGCAAGAGGTGGTAGACAATATCGCTACCAGCTGGAAGCTCTTGTCCGCGTCAAAAGAGCCGTGTTTGACGAAGATGTCTGCGTTTCCGCCGTGGCTCACCTTATACGAGAGCAAGGCTGTGAATGGCTACGATTGATGCCATCGACGACAAGGGCAGGTTTGCCGCGCCGCAAGTCTGCACAACACAACAAGTAATGGATGTTCTCGCGAGACGTTGCTAGAACATGAAGAAAGAAAAAAAATGCTACTTGATAGTGATGATGTATGTACATTGAGCACCAATGGCTCTTCAATGAATCCCCCTTCACGGCGCGATTGACGCCCGATATGCTGCCAAATCCAGAAGCGACCAGACTTGTCTGATTCGGCCCTCTTCGAGCTGGTAAAAGGCATGCTCGCTGAAGCTGACTGGCTTTCCCGTCGGTGCGATTCCGCGAAAATTCTTGGTCGGCACGCCGGTAAAAGTGAGTCGCGCAGCTACCTGCTGAGCCTCCTCGTTGACAATGAGCCTCTCGACTGTAAAGCGCAGACCTGAAATCTCGTCGAAGCTGGATTCAATCAGTCCTCTGTACTGACGCTGCACGTAGCTAAAGTAGTTGTGCACTACCACCCCTGGACAAAATTCGTCGACACGGTCACGCATCGTGCGCGCGTTGATCGAGTCAATATACTCTGTGTAGAACTTGCGCAGGTCCTCCGTCTTCAACGTCTTTCGCAGCAGCGCCGGGTCTTGATTCACTTCACCATCACCATGATTGGGCTCCGGTCCTGCAGAGTTGTTTGCGCCTGCGAGAGCCTGGATCGCCGAGATCTTGTCGTTTGCAAAGGAAAAAAACGTCTGCGCAGTCCACTCCTTGCCCTCGTCGAGGAGCGGCGACTCCGGCGAGCGCGGAGGAAACACGAAGCGCGCAGCAAGCTCGGCCCTCTCATCGTCAACGATGCACAAGTCGAGACGCGCGGTTTGAAAATTATCGTCTTTGAGCTCTTGAATGTAGGCCTGCCCCGCTGTGCTGCTGCCATTGACGATGACGTCGTCTGCCACAAACGTCTCCGCACTACCCCAGTCGCCATTTCGAAGGGCATCAAGCCACTCAGAGAAAATGAGTCGGTAGTTTCTGGAGGACGCCATAAGGAAATTCGGGTTACTCTGGGGAATAAGAGGAGATGACATAAAATGCAAAGATGGATGAACTAAACTCAATACTTCGGTAAGGATGAACGTAGGTTCGCTATGACTAATTACGGCTATGACAAAGCGAATTGTTCGCCTAGAGAAAATCACATCATTTCGCGACGATTTTGATACGAGCGGGTCAACAAGTAATACCATATATTAAGAAACAGTCTTCCAATAATCACTGCTGGTCGCTAAACTGCTGACATTAAATAACGCAAAGTCGACTTGCCCAAAGAACCGATCCCATTTCCAGCTTCGCTGTGGCAAACGCTGTTGTAATTCCCACCCGTTGTTCAAGCCCATCTCTATTAATTACTCCGTGCGCCCGATTAACCAGCCGAAAATAATCATACACATGAATTCATTAGAAAAGAGTCGTCGCAGCCATTCCTTTTTGGCCCATCGCCACCTCGCTCAACAAGACAAGGCAACAAACGTCTACGCTGCGGCTTGAAGCGGGGTCCTGGGCCGTATACACTGCTTCTTGCTGTGTATAGGAGAGGACTCTTCCTCTTCTGTGTCTTCGAAACTGCCATTAACAACTTCGCCGAGCGCAGTCCGTTTCCGCTTGCTGCCGCTGGAGTCGGGTGTTTCCACGTCATCTTCTTCCCACGTTTCCATGACTTCTGGGTCAAATTCGCCGACTAGATCCATTCCGAGCGCCTTTCCGAGTCGCTCCCGGAGCCCCAAAATAGGCCATATGGGCACACGCACGTAGTCAATCTTGAAGCCAAGGTCTCCATCAAACTCTGGCGCAGGCGGTATCCTGTGTGGCCGTCGGAAGCGCTCCAAAAACGTTGCTGTCATGTGGCCGGTGTAGACGATGAATTGTGCTCGCTCAATGTCGTGTGTCATGAAGCGCAATTTCAAATCCCGAAACGGCCTCGCGTTCTTGGATGGCGAGATTCCTCTACGAAAGAGGCTCGAGATGCGTGGGTTGGGGTAAAAGTGCTTCTGAGCCATGGCGAGCAGCATACCTGCAATGTAAGAGTCTTCGTCCGGGTTTTGTGGCTCGAGGTTCTTTGACCGCAGTTTGAACAGGCTAGACACGGGCTCGTTGAACTGCCTATTTGGACCAGGAGCAATGCGAAACATGCTTCTTCGTATTGACGCCAGTTGTGCTTTGCCCATGTAGCATACCATGGGTTGATCTGTCAGCACGTGCCTGGAAGGAAGTGTTGAATCTGAGAATCGTGATTCTGGCGAAGAAGTCGCGTCCTGTGTCGACTGTGACGATATCGGGCGAGTCTGCGACGGCGGACAGCTACCGCTAGGATACGTCCACATAATCTGGGCCCTGACAGCCTCGTGGTATACTTTGTCTCCGAAGAACAGATGAAGGTCCGGAACAACATGATACTGACAGAAGCTTTCGGGCCAAAGCTTGGCCATAATTGTGCACACCGCGTCAGATACGGCCGTGGGATGAGCAATCTTGTAGGACAGTATGTCGCTAAGCGTCTCACTGAGTTTCAAAATGGACTGTGAGGGTTGCATGTGCCCTTTTGGAGGTGGCGAGCCTGGCTCGTTCACCGGCATTGGTGTATCGCAGATGGGCAGCTCGTTGAACTGGATTTTGAGAAGCTCTGCATGAAGATCTGTCCAGCAGAGCGGCCGTACAAACAGTGCAGTGCCAGAGTTGCATCGCATTATATCGAGAACAGAGCCTGGCGCAACGCGACGTGGCAAACGCTTCCGTAAGGGTGCCGATACTGGGGAACGTCTTCGTTTTGTTCTTCGTCGCGCGTCGCGTTGTGGTGAAGTCGATGCAGGAACGCCCTGAGGCTCTCTGTCGCGAATCATTTTGAAGAGGGAGCGCGCGAGCAGTATGCCGGCGGCACCAGTGACCAGGACGCTATAACGATGACCGAGTCAATGTCGCGCGTTTTGATATCGAAGGTGAAGTGCGGTGCTGTTTGCGACAGGAATGCGCTGCGCTTACTCGATGGTGTTCATATACATGAGGACTGGTAGAGAGTCCGGGGGGGTGGTTCCGCCTACTTATATGGCAACGGATACCAGGCCTGGACTCCGCAGTGGCCAAACTAGTGGCACAAGGTGTGAGGATGTTCGTGTAGAGTCAATCTCGATCCACCTTGGTCACCTCGAAAAGGAAACCTAGCTTGCTGGTGGGTGGCTTTGAATCACTGCCAAGGCGGGAGGCTAATATCAGGGACACGGAGACGGTGGCAGAGGAGAGGGAAGCTTGGAGAGGGAAAAAAAAAAAAAGCAAGCGATTGCCCCCTTTGTGGACAACATGAGACAGAAGTCGTGAATCGCGAGTGGGCTCAGGTTGTGCAGCGAGTCACAAAGGGCGCGTACGTGAAGGGCGAACTTTGTTGGGCCAGACTTTGGGCCCCGCGCAGTGCAACACGCTCGCCCGCCCTAGGCCGGCTTGGGAAAAGGCTAGGCTGTCGCGGTGCACCACGCGGGCAATCCGCCACTTGGCCTGTGCGGAAGACGCGCAAATGATGCGAGGTCACGTGAGTTTGGCTAGGCAGCAATGTCCCACCAGCTAGCCACAGGGCCACACAGCAGTGCCATCCAGCCACAGGTGCTAATAATTACAGTCAGGTCAGCGAATCGTACATGCACAACGTGGAGGCTACACAAGCAAAAAGTATGGCGTACGTAATTTTATATAATTAGCGCTCGTGTTTGCCCATCTTTGGGGCTCACTGCATCTACGGAGGCGACGGAGAGCGTGAATGCGCCCACCCTTTTAGATTACGGCTAGACGAGGAACACTATGGACGACTTTCTCAGTCCTTATACCCATCTCGCTATTCAAAGCTTGCACCACGGCGTGGGCAGTAGTAAGCCTACCGTGCCAACAGTCATCTATAACCCTACCGTATGGGATGGAGCTCGTCTCGGGAAACTCAGCTGCTTGGAAGCGGCGCTCAACCTCAATATCCGTCAGATCAATGTAGGGCTCATTGCCAGTCATAATAAAGTACAGTACCGATCCAAGAGCGAAAAGGTCGTCAGCCTTGGTAGGTACATAGCCCCTCCCCCAAGGTCCTGCCTGATACCTCGATCCCGGGGCACCTGTTTTCTCTGGGCCCCCAGAAAAGATACTCCCAGCAAAATCGCAGATACACAGATCCAAGCTGCTATTCAAGAGAAAATTCCGAGGGGCGACGTCGGCGTGGATGACTTCTTTGTCGTGAAGACTCGCCAGCGCTCGCGCTGCCTGAGTCGCCCACTTTCCACGAGTTTCAAGGTCCACACCGCTCGCGGCGTCATTGTCCCTGAAGTATGTAGCCAGATCTCCGTTGGACTGATGTTCGAGGATCAGCGTGCAGGTCTGGGCATCCCAGCCTAGGAATTTCGGGATCGTCAGTATGTCGTTCCCGTCGCCACTACTCAGGCGTTGATAGACCTCAGCTTCGCGAGCCACAGCCTCGCGGTTCATGCGCTCTTCGGCCGGGCTGAGGGGGTTTTGCAGAGGCGTCTTCACAATTGCATTGCCCGAGGGCAGTCGTTCTACCAGCGCAGTGGTTCCAAAACCGACCAATTCTCCCTTGCGGAGGTAGTAGACCTGCCCAGCATGCTCCTTTGTAGCGGGCATCTGGAATCTGGCATCGGGCCAGTTGGGGTAGCGTTTTCGTTCCCATTCACCGTAAACGGGAATATACTCGAGGTAGGGAGGCGGGGGGGTCGAATCCTGCTGGCACAGAAGTTGTGTTAGTATTGCAGCTGCATATAGCTGTTTTGCGGTATGCCAACCTTGGTGTCATCTTGATGCTGAAAATCATTACTGCTGGAGGCTTTGAAACGAAGCATTTCGATACATGAATTGCGGGTATGGGTGCATGTAAGTTGTTACTCATAAGGCGCGAGCCGCGACGCCATTCACTAAAGAACGGCAACTGAGAATGCGGCACCAGTGGCGCAATACAGTTGTCTCACTGCCAAGGAGGCAATAATACTTGGTAAGCGAGCCCAGCAGCCCAGTTGCCAGGTCGTGGCTTCGGTTTGACAAAACCGCCCTTGCCATAAGTGTCTTTTGTAAAAATGCAGATACATATCACATGAGTTTTTTTACTGGTCTAGTCTAATTATTCCCCTCTTCCTCATTCATGTCAGACGAGCTCCTCCTCACGCAACACCTCCCAAACGCGCCGCGCTACGTCCCGCCGCGTTGTGAGGTCTATCGTCCCAACCTCAATTGCAACTTTCGGACATGCCACCTCAGCCGACGGCTCGTCCAATCTACGTAGCATCGCCGCGGGCACCCAGCCGCGGTAGCAGTACAGCTGCCGCGCGCCGGCACCTGGGAGGGCGAGCAGGCACAACCTCCAGCGCGCCACAGCGTCGTCAGGCACCGCCGCCTGCCTCCTCCTCTGCGCCTGCGCCAACGCGATGAGCAGACCCCAGATGTACGGATCCTGATGCGCCTCCGCCGGCTGCAGCGCCTTCAACTTCTTGCCCCGCATGATGTACCCGGCGGTGTCGCCGCGGTCGTATAGGCGGACCCTCGACTCCCCTCCTTGCACCCATCCGTGTCGCGATTCCGATATCGAGTCAAAGTTGGTACAGACCATCATTCGATCCCCCGTCCTGGTCGACCATACGCACTGTACCCTCAAATGGCAAACAGTCTTCCCTCTAAATTGCATCGCAATTTTGCGCTGGTCCCTAGGCGTACGACACGTTAGGGATTTCCAGTACTTGTATAAATTGTTCTTTTTCTTTTGCCCAAGTGACGTACCTGCCCATGCCAACCTGTTGCAGCCCATAGGTTCGTAGTAGCTCTCCCAGCGCCGCTCTCTGCTGATACGGGTCGTGCCGTCTCACCAAGGATCTCGCTACATGGAGACTGGCTCTATTGCACCAGGGAGGTTTCAATTCCCGCGCTTGGTCGTCGCTCATATCGGAAGTAGCCTGGACGTGCCCGGCTGACTGGCGATCGAGTCGAATCACAGCGTCAAGGCGGGCGCCCAGCAGCTCCAGGTGATGTGCCGTCCAGACAATCGGATGCACGTAGAGACGACGTCGACATTCGGCCCGCAAGACGGCATAAATGGACATTGGCGCCGTAGCGTACGAGTCTCGCTGATCATGTCGCGCAAGTGCAGCCTCGATAGCAGGCGTCATGTCTGCTTTGTCGTGCGCCGAGCCAGTATTGGTTATGGAGGACAACGCTGTAAATTCGGTTTCATCATCGTTCAGCGCGAATTCTGGCCCTGATATAGTCATCACAGCCATTGCATTGGTGGGGGCGATTATTTGTCGAAAATAACAACTGGCCTACGTTGTTCTGTTTGTGTACTCTTTTCCCGTTCACGAGGCTGGCAACTGTTATTTAGGCTACAGGCAGGTAGCGAGACATAGTTAGGTACCTAGGTATATTTCGGGAGCCAGGCATTGGTGACACAAGATCCGTTACGAAATAATATTCTAGACGAAAATAAAAATCTCATATGGAAAGGAGCAATGCAGCGTTAGAAAACAAAATGCAGAGAAAGACCAAAGAAGAAAGCTGAAGAAAGCAGTGGTCGATAGCATTCTAGAGGGTCACTACTCCGGATGTACCAGTACGTAGATGGATGACCAAGTGAAAATAGCGGGCATCTGTCGTGACGATGAAAACTCCGGGCACTTCCCTCTAAGTACGGTGGCAGCGTGGTTCGTGAAGCAGGGGTTATGGTTCACGGGAGCGAGCTTCGATGACATGTTGTGTCCCCAGCTACCAGAATCCGCGGATACCCAGTTCAACGCATTGTAGGCTGGCAGAACCGCGCAAACACATTTGTTTTCGATGGGGACTCGGATTGGTTAGTGTAGGAGACTGTTCATGACTGTTCGTTTGAGAACCCTTCATCAAATCAGCAATTGCGGATAGTAGCGGCGGCTTCACATCGAAGTTGAGTTCCAACGTCTCGGCAGCTATTCCGTCTGAACAGTCAACTAGCGTGGTGACCACTCTTCTACGGCGTCAAACCTCTACAATTAACGCGAAAAATGAAGAGGTAGTTGGCGTGTTGGTAGGGGTTGCCATGGATCATCTACAATGGTGGTCAGCATTGTATTTTGCAAACTACCGGATGTCGGCCCTTACTTGTCAATTTTGTTAGCCCATTCCGTATTTGGTTTCTGTCGAACGAGAACGTGTCCAGTTTCTTGTGAAAGCGGCAAACGTGGTTACACATGAGGGCTGCGGAAAAAAACAACAGGATTTGGATATCAATAACAGAAGGTCACTCGCCAGCTCTGACCAATCAGAGCGCGTCGTAGCCAGCCTTGTACAGGTATTGCTGGGTAATCCGTACTCCTTTGGCCTCTTAATATTGGCCCACTTGTGCAGTTGCTAGCCAACCAGCCAGTATCCTCCAAGCTTTTTTTAGGCGCGCCACTCTAGCTAATTCACAAGCTTCTACTCAACTTTCTTGACTGTGATTGCTGCGATTCCCCTCACGCCCGGCACGTGTGAATCGACGTTGAAGACTCCGGCGTGCATCATCGAATATTCTTCAGTCTTTTCCTGCGCGTCTTCTCTCAGCCATTGTGCCCCTCCGTGACGCGCACTCGCAGCCATGGCGGGCCGCTTCATCGTCCCATCCAGCAGCCCTCCCAGCAGTGCGCCGTCGACGCCCGAAAGACGCGGCCATGGCACGCGTAGCTTTGGGGATCAACCTTCAATGACCCCTGCTTTCCAGCTGCCACCCTCATCTGCAGCTTCGACCACGCCTGCGGGAGCCCCTTCAGACGCTTTCCTGGGCAGCTCCATGATGCGCGGCCTGAGCAAGCCCAAGTTTGGCGGTTCTGGTCCCGGACGCAACGTGTTTGACCGAAGCGATGCCAGCAATGCCCCCTTGGGGCGTTCAATCAGAGGCCGTGAACTCGGGCCCTCTGGACTGAGTCGACAGTTCAATTTCGATGACGATGCTGAAGGCGAAGACATGGATGCCGAGGGCGAAGACGAGCTGCCTCCCCAGCCTGGTAGCCTCTTTCGCACTTCCCGCAAGAATGCATCTCAAGACTCCGGTGCCGACGCTGATGCTTACGACATGGAGGCCGAGATTGAACAATTTCTTTTGCAAGAGATGGAGAGTAAGCAGGACAAGGCGGACGAGGCCACGCCTGACGACGAGGAATCCGAGCTGGGAGACATGTTTCTCAACATGCGACACGACGATAGACCATACGGCCAGCCCATTATCGGTGAGGATCTCATCATGCTGAATACGCCTGCTGCCACCAAAAGGGTACGCAAAGAAGCCGAGGACATTTTCCGTCGATCATCTGTACACCTTGGCTCATCGACAAGGAAAACCGAGTTTCGATTCGGCACCATTGCGAGAGACTTTTACACGAGCCAAGACGCCGCGACTCTGACCGAGCCGACTGAGCTGATTGTCAAGAACGAGGAGCTGGTCAGCCGTCTCTACAACGACGGTGTTGGCGCCGAGGAAGATGTGGACGTGATGGATGATTCTCTCGCCACAATCTCGCACGACCTACTTCAACTCTGGGAGGATCACATAGAGACCCTTCCGCCACCCGAGGGAGAAGACTATGCATCTGTTGGTCCCGGCGTACAGGCCCAGCCATTCGAAAAGGCCATGTTTGTCGCCAATCTCATCCTTCGCATGCACCACACAAGGTCCAACCATGATGGGAAACATGAAAAAATTCCTCCTCTGCCAGAAACTCTCTTTCTGTGGATGCACGATAGTCACAATCTCTTCCCCGATCAGATTCGCGAGAGCAACCAATATAAGCCCAGCCCTGCATGTCACCACTTGTTTTGGCAAACCCTACGAAACAATTTGCTGCGAGGAAATGTTGCCCAGGCATCTGGGCTGCTGAGGAATGCTGGATGGGAGCATGTGCACAAGGGAACGCATGGTGAAAAGGCATATACGGGCAAAGCGCTTGACAATGTTCGGCGTTTTGCTGCAGCTACGTGTGAGATTCTAGATCAGTGCCCCGGCGCGTCCGGCGATTGGGATATATGGAACAGTGCCTGGACCCTGTTCCGTGTCCACGCCAAGGGCTCACTGGATAGACTGACTCTATTTGCAGAGGGTCGTGGTGTGCAGATGGACGCTTTTGAAGGAGGCTTCGATGATTCTGCTCAATACATGTCCACAATGGCAAAAGAGGCGTCCAGCCAGCTCCCATGGGATATCTACGAGCACCTGCAAATGGTGTATGGCATAGTCCTCGGTCAGCACGATGCCATATTGGAAACTGCCCAAGACTGGTGCGAGGCCACAGTGGGACTTTTCGGCTGGTGGGACGACAGCACACAGCGACGCAAGAATCTACGCATCACACAGAGCGGGTTCAACGCGCCGACAACGAGCCGGTTTGGTGCTTCGGATGATTACTTGGACCGCCTATCTGCCGCCTTTCACAAGGTGATACAGTCCGATTTGAATCCCAACACGATGGATCCCGTGGAGGTTGCTATTGCGTCCGCCTTCGAAGGCAACATCACAGCCGTCATTGGGTGCCTGAGAATATGGTCGCTGCCTGTAGCAAGCGCGTGTGCTGAGATTGCGTCGTTGGGCGAATGGCTACCGCGAGAGAAGCTATGGTCCGACTTGCCTGCAGATGGACTGGACATGGACGACCTAGCTCTGCTAGGAATCACACAGCCGTCCGACGATGAGAAGCAAGGAATCAAGGATACGACACTGGTCATTTATGCACGGGAACTGGCCGGCATTGAGCACTTGACACCGCAGCGAGACGGGTGGGAGGTAGCAATCGAGGTGCTGGGTCGCATGGATGTCCCGGAAAAGTCGGAACAGACTGTCAGCGAGCTTCTGCGGGACTTGCTCGTGACACTCGACCAGCACTCCAGCTCCACGGTGGACAAGATGTGGAGGATATTGAATGAGCTGGGCATGGTCAATTTTGCCGAAGAGACTGCCGAGGTAAGCACATTTAACTTGGCAGTGACGTGTGAAGGCAGAAACTAACTGGACGCAGACGTTTGCGGATATATTGGCCAAAGAATCTCATCGATATGGTGAAGCTCTATGGTACTTTGCGCTATCGCACAAGACAGAGCGAGTGCGTGAAGTGCTAGTTCTACTTACGTCCTATTCGCTAGTGTATTCGACAGTGTATCCGGCAGAGAAGGAGCTGGACAAGGACCTGAGGAATCTTCTGCGCAACCGTACAGAGACGCTAGAAACGAGAGCGACGCAGGATCTGGAGGCTGCACAACTGCTGGGCCGAATGCTGAGTGGCTACGCAACGCTTCGCAAGTTTTATGAACTACGAGACGAGTGTGCTTTGGTAGACGCATCGTCGTCCAAGGCCTTGTCGCTACGCAAGCAGGCTGCGTCAGCACTGGTGGCCGTCATATCTAGTGCGGATGATAATATCCGGGGCGGTCTATACGACGACACACGAGACGCCGTCGTCAGCGAAGATTTTCTGCTGGCTCTGCTGGGGGAAGCCACAGTATTCCTGGGTCAGAACCCCTCGACGGTGTCGTTGGAGCAGATTGACATTGTACTCAAGGCGATTGAAGACTTGGAGACGGTGGGCTCGCGCGTCTATGAATCGTGCGACGACTTCTTCAAGCTGGTGCTGGCGTCCGGCCAAGGGCTAAAGGGATCGACCCCGGCAGACCTGATGAGCAAGTCGACCAATGCACTGGGAGCGAGCAGCTACATGATGACGGGTAGCTCAATGCTGGCGAGCCAGCTACACAAGTCGGTAGCGGGGGCGGGCAAGGTTGAGAGGGGATGGGACTGGCGCAAGCAGTGGCATGCATCGACTAAGAGCGGCGAGGTGCTGCGTAAGCTGCGGCTGGGATTGGCGCGGGACCTGGCGGCGCTGTGGCTGGAGGACGCTGACGGAATGGCGGCGTTTTAATTTACATGTTAAGCGGCAATCATTTTTCGTTGCTTTTGGGTATAGAGACGGTGGTGTACAAACTCAGGAACGTGCTTGTGTCGTGTGATTGTGCTGTGGTCGTCATGTAAGATAGATGGACGCGATGCGGACTCGATGTATACGGACAATTAATGATTGGTAATATCAAGATTGGTGATGAGAGACGATTCATTATACTCGCGCCTGTAGGAATGTTTTGACTCGAAGTTATCACTTCCCAAGTACGTCCGCATGTTTCTGGAGTATGACGTGGTGAGCGAGGCCCGATTGCGGACTGTTTATACAGTGGGGCTGTAATAAAGAGCGCTGGTGGGCATTGCGCAAGCGCTAGAGCTGCAGAACATTGAAGCAGCCCGTGGCTGCAAATGGAGCAGGGTTTAGCATCCACTAATTCAGCATTGCCAAGAGGGAAAAATCCAAGACAGATAGTTAGCACCATTCTGAGAGTCATCAGAGTACGTCTGTATTATTTTTGTCTTGATTCAGGTGCGCCTCGGAAGACTACTGATACTGCCTCTTATATTCATCATGAGGACTGCACGTTCCTATTGCTGACTGCAGCTCCCCAAGCCGTCGCTCTGGCCAATCACAGGGCATTAATTTCCAAAATAGCCCCCAGACCCTCTATAACCAGTGCTGCTCTTGCCATCTGCCCCACTCCGACCACGCAGCCGAGCAACCGGGGCAAAACTAAAAAGCCCCCAGTGTCTTTTCTGTGTGAATCACCTTGAACCCAAAAAAGTTCATCGCAAAGATGGCTCCAATGGCAATGGCTGGCCGCCGTGGAGGTTCCATGACGGTATGTAACTCTTTTACTTTCGTTTTCTTTGCGCTGATGCATCAAAACTAACTCTATAGTCTCTTGTCCGCTCTGCTGTGCTGCGCTCCGGCTCCGGAGCCTCTCTACAACTCACCAGCCGACTCACCACCACCACCACCTCCCGCGCCCTTTCGACGGCCACGTCGCTGCCGCCCACCTACGAGCGCCTCTTCAACAAGTACACGGAGGTCCGTCGCGTGCTCGGTGCCCAGCGCTTGACCCTTGCCGAGAAGATTCTCTACAGTCACCTGCACAATGTCGAGGAGTCGCTGCTCACGGGCACGAACAATGGCCGCAGCGTGCGCGGCACCGCCAATTTACGCCTCAAGCCGGACCGCGTCAACATGCAAGACGCTTCGGCTCAGATGGCACTGCTGCAGTTCATGTCGTGCAACCTCGAGAGGCCCGCCATCCCCGCGAGCATTCACTGCGACCATCTGATTGTCGGGTCCAAGGGCGCCGAGGACGACCTGACCTCGGGCGTCCAGACCAACAAGGAGGTGTTTGACTTTCTAGAGTCGGCGGCGCGCAAATTCGGCATGGACTTTTGGCCGCCGGGCGCGGGCATCATTCACCAGACGGTGCTGGAGAACTACGCACTGCCGGGTCTGATGATGCTCGGCACCGACAGCCACAGCCCCAACGCGGGCGGCCTCACCACGGTCACGATTGGTGTGGGCGGCGCTGACGCGGTCGAGGCCATGGTGGGTGCGCCGTGGGAGCTCAAGGCCCCCAAGATTCTCGGCGTCGAGCTGAAGGGCGCGCTGAGCAGCTGGGCCTCGCCCAAGGACATTATCCTGCGGCTCGCCGGCGAGCTGACGGTCCGCGGCGGCACCGGCTACATTGTCGAGTATTTTGGGTCCGGCGTCGATTCGCTCAGCTGCACCGGCATGGCCACCATCTGCAACATGGGCGCCGAGGTCGGCGCGACAACGTCCATCTTTCCCTACACGCAGGCGTCGGCGCGGTACCTGGCGTCGACGCGCCGCGCGCAGGCCATTGCCAACATTGACGCGCTGCAGGCGTTTCCCGGCGCCGGCACGTCGGCGGACGCGCGATTCCGGTTTCAGGCCGACGACGGCGCCGAGTATGACGAGCGCATCACGATTGACCTGTCGGCGCTGGAGCCGCACATCAACGGCCCGTTCACGCCGGACCTGGCCACGCCGCTGTCCAAGTTCAAGGACACAGTCCGGGACCAGCAGTGGCCCGAGGCGCTCTCGGCGGGCCTGATTGGCAGCTGCACGAATTCCTCGTACGAGGACATGACGCGTGTCGAGTCGCTCCTCAAGGAGGCGGCCGCCGCGGGGCTCAAGCCCGTTGCCGACTTTTACATCACCCCCGGCAGCGAGCAGATTCGCGCGACGCTCGAGCGCGACGGCACGCTCGAGGCCTTTGAGGGCGCGGGCGGCGTGCTGCTGTCGAATGCGTGCGGGCCGTGTATCGGCCAGTGGCAGCGACAGGACGGCGTGAGCAAGGGCACGCCCAACGCCATCCTGACGTCGTACAACCGCAACTTTCGCGGCCGCAACGACGGGAACCCGGAAACCATGAACTTTCTCGCCTCCCCCGAGATTGTCACCGCCATGGCCTTTGCCGGCGCCACCACCTTCAACCCCGTCACCGACACCCTCAAGACGCCCGACGGCCGCGACTTTAAGTTCTCGCCGCCTCGTGGTAAAGAGGGCCCCGAGACGCCGTTTGAGTCTGGCGTCGCCTCCCTCGGCGTGCTCTCCCAGCCCGCTGATCCCAATGTGCCCGTCGCCATTGCGCCCACGTCCGAGCGTCTCGCTTTTCTCGAGCCCTTCCCCGCGTTCCCCGCCTCGGACCTCACCGGCCTGCGCGTGCTCGTCAAAATCACCGGCAAGTGCACCACCGACACCATCTCCGCCGCCGGGCCTTGGCTCAAGTACAAGGGCCACCTGCCCAACATCTCCACCAACACGCTCAACACGGCCGTCAACGCCGAGACGGGCGAGGTCAATGCCGCGTACGACCTCGACGGGTCCCGCGACACCATCCCCGCGCTCGCAGCGCGCTGGAAGGCCCGCGGCCAGGACTGGCTCGTCGTCGCCGAGCACAACTACGGCGAGGGCTCGGCGCGCGAGCACGCCGCCCTGCAGCCGCGCTACCTGGGCGCCCGCGTCGTCCTGACCAAGTCGTTTGCGCGCATCCACGAGACCAACCTCAAGAAGCAGGGCGTCGTGCCGCTGACGTTTGCGCGCGAGGCCGACTATGACCGCATCGGCGCCGGCGACGAGGTCGCGACCGTGGGGCTGTACGAGATGCTGCGCAACGGCGGCGCCGGCGAGGTGCAGCTGCGGGTCACCAAGAAGGAGACGGGCGAGGAGATTTTGATCCCGACAAAGCACGCAGTGAGCAAGGACCAGGCAGGGTTTATTCTGGCGGGCAGTGCGCTGAATCTGTTGTCCAAGGGCGTATAAGAGGAAGAAGAGCAAAATGAAGTGGGTTGAAATCATTTGATGGAGTCGGCATGCTATAATTTTAGTCGTTTTTTATGTTTGGAGTCTATGTTTTCTTCTTTTCCCTGTCTCAATCTAGTATCTTGGATATTTTATTCCGCATCTACAAAAGTTTAGCCTTGAAAGCTGTCAGAATGATCAAGTTGCATATACTGATCCACGTCCCAAATACCGTACATCACTGCAGTCCTGGTGCTCAAGTTTTATAAACATCTCTCGCACATGGAGGTTCGTGCTTTAGGTTCGTGCTTGGTCATGGTACTGGTAGGGATTCGCTAAGCTATGCTACCGTAGGGCCATTATTTCCAGTGCAACCCACGTACTGTTTGTGTACAAATGCTCTTGTTGCTAGAAATGGCAAGATTTCGAATCTCATAAACAGTTCTGTGTCCCAGATCATGAAACCTCGAACCCCATTTACACTTGCACAAAAACGAAACCAAAAAGAAATATAAAAAAACGGCGTCGTCCAGGACTATTTTTCTGCTTCCCTCAATATGTCCTGATAATGCTGCCACGCCCTCTGTGTCCTGTATTCCACACCGCGGTGCAATGCCGCATCCTCCTCCCTCATGCTGCGCATCCACGCGCACGCCCTAGCCCAGCCGGGGTTGTTGCGCACATCAGTCGGCAGCTGGTCCTCTGACACGTCGCCAAAGTCCATTACACGCTTGTAGCTGGCGGGCAGGGGGTCTTGCCGTGTCTGACGGCCTCTCGGCTGTGCGCGACGCTTCGCTTCCTCCTCCTGCTGCGTGGTGCAGAGCCAGCGCATGCGCTCCGCCGCCTTGCCAAACCACTGCTTGCGCCTTGGCCGTTTGCGAATCTCCAGCGTCTTGTCTTTCCACCATTTATCTGACCGCTCCACAGGTCCGTGGATCGCCGGGTTGGCTGAGACAAAGACCCTGTCGTCGTGGGGGAACGCGTTCGTCGCTGCAGGGCCCGCGCTTGATGTCATTGGGGGGCGGGAAATAGCAAGGCCTGGTGGTGGTTGTGTTTCGCTCTGACAGTATATCATGGCATCAAAGGCATCAGAGTCGAATCTCTTGGGCTGTCCTCTTATCGCGGCGAATTGCCTCGGCGCTCGTGTAGGTTGGTTTACGACAGCAGAGTCGGTCTTGTCACTGCTTTCACTAAATTTACGTTTGTTGCTGACATGAGTCCTGCGCAAGACAGCTACCGCGACGTTATTCTTCGGTGGCTCATTCTCGGCGCTTGCATTGCATTTGTCAAACAAAGGGGAAGGGGCTTGTGTTGTTTCCGGTGAGCAAATATCTTCCACCGAAGTTGCGCGGGGTTCTGAAATCGGCATATCGTAAGACGACTCGTCTTCGGCGCTTGCATTGTTTTTGTCGATGGAAGTAGCCCGGGGGCTTCTCGGTGAGCATATGTCGTCTATCGATATTCCGCGGGGCTTCGAGGTTGGCATATCGAAAGACGACTCTTCAAGAGCTTGACTGCGTATAGGTGAGCAGGCATTGGAATGACGCTGGTCTTCTTCATCGCTGCTGTCGATGTATATGGGTTCTCGGCTCGTACCAATTCGACTCGCACCAGTGTCTGAGACAGAAACTTGTGTTGGTAGCTTTTTCGGCGTTGAGGGTGGCTCTTTTTTTTCGGCTGGCGGCGCGAGGCCACGCGTATAACCGCTCGTGGAACTCCCGACTTTGTACAAGTCCGGCGGCGCATCTATCATGTCCCACCGTTTCTTGGTAGTAGGCGAATCAGTAGTGGCGGCCGCGTCACTCTCGTCAGACGACAGAGTCAAATTTGTCAAGTCGAAGGAGCGGGGCGCACTGGTGACGCCGACGGCGCCTACATGTATAGTAGTGATGTCCCTCATCACCCTTATCTCGTATTCTGCTTCGCCAGTTATGACGGCATTTGGAACAGTGTTTTGTGGAGTATGGTTTGGAGTAGTACGGTTTGGCGAGTGTGAGTTTGATGCGTTTGCAGACATACGCAAAGGTGACTTGATGCCTTGATCGTCTCCAGCTGTTTGCCTGCCAGCTGCCTGCCGTTGACTTGGATCAGTTGGGCTCCCCGCCGGAGGCGCAACGATTTCATGCTCCAGTATTGCGTTCGTCGACTTGTCTAAATTGTCAGGAAAAGCAGGCAAATGTGGCAGCCGGCGCCGAGTTTGGGAGCTAAGAGGTTTTGTGTGGAATGAAAACTGTCGTTGAGTTCTTTTCGCAGTCCATTTCGGACTTTGGACCCTGCTGCCAGCATTTTTGCTAGACGTAGCGAGTGTGCGAGTCTTTGTTGGTCCGGTCCCCTCGCTGCTACGGCTGGGTGTTGAGGACTTTGGCCCAGGCCGTTGCGGGGCGGCATGAAGATTCATGATGAGTCCAGAAGTCGAGTCTGGGTGCAGTCTTCAGGGCTCAAAGTCCGCCTATCCTGGTGAGTCCCGAACATATCATGACTGCCTCAGTGTGACAACACTTGAGCCACCCCGGACAGGTAATCGCTCTCAGTGTCCCGCGAGCTGGACATGAGGGTTATCTAGCAGTATTATGTCAGCGTGTGTTTCAAGTTGAATATAGCGAATAGAAAGCACAATGAGAGTTCCTCGTCAGATCTTTTCAGTTAATTTGCAACTTCAAACTTGGAACGCAACGGTTCCTGTGTCCCTAAACTGCGACTAGGCAGTGGCTTGTCTGCCACGGCCTTTGGCCTGGATCAGTTGAGCAGCAATGACCAAGGCTCCAAAAAGTGGTAGGGTCAGGCTTTGTTGTACGCCAGTCAGGAACGGCAAAGACGGTGAGAGAGTCTCTGCGGCTACACCTGAATGGGGGGCATGTGTCTAGCCGCCCGATAAAGGGCAGCGAAACGGTTGGGTGGCACAGGCCCCAGTTGGTTTCGTTCGGTCAGACCTTTTACCATTGGGCATCATTCGAGTCTCGAAAAGTGTAGAAAGGAAGATTGAAAAATGAAATGACAGACCGTGGGTGACAGCAGTCGGCTGAGGCAGAGGACGCGCATGGATGCTCTTTATTAGCAGCGAGGTCCTGAGGTAGTCGAGGAACGAAATCAGTATGCTGGGAAGTCGGGTCTTGAAATTGGTCCGAATATATATAGAGCCAACGCGAGCCTGCTCCATCCAGCGCAACAAGGCTCGCAAATGGAGCCAGCAGGCTGGGCGGCCAATTGCATCGATTCTATTCGTAGGCGAATCCTGTTCTTGCGGCTGGCGGCACGAGGTGCATTGGGCTGCCACAGGAGACCGCCTTCCAAAGTCGGGCGAGAATATCAACGAATCTCAAGTCAGTGATGAAAAGGAAGGAAAGTCATCTAAGCCCGTTTGCAGGCCCATTCACGGCCAATGTAGAGCAATGTAAAGCGCCCCACAGTGGACGGAGGGCCAAGGTCAACAGCACCAAAGACTGCTATAATCTCGTAGCTTGGAGAACGTGCATCAACATCTAGAACAGCCTACGCACCATGATATTTACAGGAAAAACATGACATAATTCGCTTCGAAAGGTCGTAATATGACAATTCAGTAAACCAGCCTCGCAACACAGCTGCCTTTGAAAGCAGTTGCCCACCTACTTTGCTTAAACCAGCGCGCATCCAATTCCACGTGCTAGCGCGGGGCACTTGACACCATGTCTTCATGGTATCTACCCTCTAAATATATGCCAACACGCAGAAATATATCCAACTTCGCAACCACCTTACTGAATGCGCCCCTCGCCATATTTTTCGCCTGCCGATAATTCCATCCTCTTCTACAACTGCCCAAGGTCTGCAAGCCATGGACTTTCTCAAGTCGGCCGTGGCCTCGGCCATGGCCAAAGGGCCGCCCTTTCCATACAGCTTTGGCGATAGGGTCGACGTTGACGAGTCCATCTGGACATTATGCAATGGCACCAAGAGGGTAATCTGCGCCGCGCGACGAATGCTGTGAATAATCACTGACCGACTTTCAGGAAGACGGCTCCAACTGCAGCATCTTTTCCTTCGACATTACCGCCCACAGAGGTCTCCTGCCCCTCGCCCGAAACGCCCTGCGAAAGCTTCGCACCATCCGCCACCCTGGTGTAATCAAGGTCCTCGATACGGTGGAGGTCGGTATCCTTAGTTCCGGCACGAGTTCTACCTGGCCTAACACCAGAATAGACAGAAACATACATCTACATCGCCACCGAGAGAGTTGTGCCCCTGCGATGGCACGTCCGACGAAAATCCCTTAGCCCAGAAACAATAAAATGGGGCTTGCACAGCATTGCGGTACGAAACAATCCCGAAAATGACAAGACATACTCTAATATCAGATAGCGTACTCTCAAATTCATCAACTCTGACGCCTCCTCCATCCATGGCTGTGTCAAGGTCGGATCCGTATATACTTCTGAAAGTGGCGAGTGGAAACTTGGTGGCTTTGAGATCCTCAGCAGCGTCAAGGACGATGAATCAACTATATATGTCAGTAATTTCGTTACAGATAGCGGCTCATCATACTGACTCAATCAGACTTATGGGAGCCTTGCTCCTGACTCTGCTCGATACTCGCCTCCAGAAGTCGTACAAAGTGGCTGGGAGGTCATCAAGAAGAACCCTCACTCGGCCGTCGACGCCTTCAACTTTGGTGTGCTAATATACGAGGTATTCAATGGCGACTACAACGGCCGAGACAATGCTGGACAGACTCGCGGCGTTCCACCCACGATGCACTCTAGTTACAAGCGACTATGTAACGCGAATCCAAAAGCTCGCATTTCCGTCTCGGCATTCCTCGATCAGGGAAGCCGTCGCGACGCCTTTTTCGACACACCGCTCATCAAACTCACAGAGGGTATCGAAAACCTGGGCATAAAATCCGAAGAAGAACGCGAGCAATTTTTGGAGTATGTGCCCACTGTCTTAGCTCAATTTCGGATACTAACAATGGCAAAGCGACTTGGAGCAAGTATCAGATGACTTTCCCGAGGACTTTTTCATCATGAAGGTCCTGCCGGAGCTAATGAAATCGGTCGAGTTTGGTGGTGGTGGACCCAAGGCCATTAGTGTTGTGCTCAAGATTGCCTCCAAACTGTCGCAGGACGACTTTGAGACTAAGTTGATTCCCTTCATTGTCAGGATCTTTGGCAATCCTGACCGTGCCATTCGAGTTTGTCTGCTGGACAGCCTGCCTCTGATCATTGACCAATTGCCTCAAAAAATTGTCAATGATAAAATCTTTCCACAAATTGTAGGTGTCGTTGTAACATCTATATGTCTTGCTTTACACTAATAGCTTCTAGGTCGCTGGCTTCACAGACGCCGCCCCCATCGTTCGAAAGCAGACGCTCAAGTCAGTTTTGGTATTAATCACAAAGCTCTCGGATCGCACAATTAATGGCGAGCTACTCAAACACCTTGCCAAGACTGCCAATGACGAACAAGCCGGAATTCGCACCAACACGACAATTTGCTTGGGCAAGATCGCCAAGCATCTCGGAACGGGGTCAAGATCCAAGGTCCTCATTGCCGCCTTTACACGATCGATGCGAGACCCATTTGTTCATGCACGCAATGCTGCATTGATGGCTTTGGCAGCAACATCGGAATACTTCACAGAAGAAGACTGCGCAACACGCATTCTCCCTGCGCTCTGCCCTCTGCTCATTGACAAGGAGAAACTTGTCCGTGACCAGGCAACCCGCGCCATGGACTCGTATGTGGCCAAGATCAAAAAGGCAGCATCAAATATGCCGGACACTGTGCTACCGCCAGCACAGGCTGGGGACGGCCAGGCTGCTCGCATGAGCACACCGCAACCGAGCGCTGGTTCTCAGGGCTGGACTGGCTGGGCCATATCGTCGTTTACGAACAAACTATCGACGGCCGCGGGCGATATGCAGACCACCAATGGGTCAGCCCCCACACCGAAAGCATCGGCTTCTCCCACCGCGGATGCCCGCAAGTCAAGGTCGTCAGCGTCCACACTACACAGGCAAGCGCTTGCATCACCACCGGCTTCTACCGCAGCGCCATCTCCCACGCCTAGCGCTGTAGCGGAAGAATTCTACGGCAACGGGGCCGACGATGACGCGGGCGGCTGGGGCGACATGGACGACATGGATGAGGAGGATGGATGGGGTAAGGCTTTGGACGAGCCATCAGCAATTTCGGCGCCCGCGACGGCGTCGGCGACACCGTTTGACGAGGGTGAGCCCGACTTTGCAGGGTGGCTTACAGCGCAATCGCAGAAAAAGACGGCCTCGAAGCCGTTGCCCAAGGGGCTAGCGAAGACGGGCTCTGCGGCGAAGAGAGCGCCCGCAAAGCCGGCGGCAAAGGCGAAGCCAGTGGTGGCGAAGAAAATTGACCTGGCGCCGAAAATCGAAGACGATGACGAAGGTTGGGGGGACGGTTGGTAGACGCGAGAGCTGTATGATAATTCAATACTATAATACATACCGCTCTTGCAGAGCTTTTTGCCTCGGCTGGTTTCACAGCTCTCCGGGTCCGCATTTTGACACGGATATCTGTCGGATCAATAGCCAGCTGATAATCTAGGCAAGTTCTCTGTAGAGAAAGCGGCCCAAATCATTCTTCTTTAACAGTATTCGTTTTCAAGAGCACCATGTGTGCAACATTCCTCTGGATTGCATCACACACTCGTCTATGGAGTAACGGCCCTGCCTTGTGCGACTCCCTTTACGGGTCTATCCAAGTCTAACTTTTCTTCGATGGCGGTCTAGTGTGTGTTCAAGGTATGAGAGATGAGCTGCTTGATGCAGGTCGCCTGCATGAGCGGCCATTGCACATAATTAGTGACAAGTACCCTGCAGCTCATAACAGATGGGCGAGTCGCATTCTAGTGGCTTGCAACTTCGTGCAAAACGTGTCATGTGAACATGAGTTGCTGCTCATATGGCAGCTCACTGCAGAGGACATAAAAATATTGCTTTGTTCCTGCTTTTGCGACGGTCATGCATTCGCATAGGCGGGTGGTATGATAATTAAGTTGCTGGCAAAGTTGAAATGATAACAACAGCGCTACCGAATAACAAGCTCAACTAGAAGCAACGCGGGGTGGAAAAGCATGGTGCCACTCCCGTTGATTACGGCACAGAAAACAAAGCTAGATAATAAGGTTCGGCAAGTAAAGCAAACGTACAAGTCAACGGAAGAAGTTGAGCAAGTCTTGCAGGCCAATCAGTGATAGTTACTACCGAGACCTTTGTCGAGTCTGAAACTGCCGCTAGTCCTCTTTAAGAGCGTGTTATCGATGAGGGTTGCCGTGGTTGCCGTGACAACGAAGGACACGGGAACGATCGACCAAACCGCTAAACAGTGGACGAGGAGGAGTAAATACAGAGGGAGAGCAACTGCACAAGCCACTTGACAAGCTCAATCGTGTTTTGTCGGAGGTATCTAGGTACCTAGGTACAGGATATTCATAGGTCGCGAGCAAACACAGCTTCGTCCTTTCAGATATCACTTTCCCGTCTCACAGCCGCACATTTCACGTCGCTCAACATTTCCATCACGACGTGGAATGACTGACCTCTAGGTTTTCGAGTTCTTCTCTACCTACAGCGCATGGTACGATGCTCTGATCATTTACCATCTTCTTCTTCTTTTCTTTTCCCAATCTTTTCACTTAACCTCCGTCCCCTCTTTGCTTCCGCCATCGCAACATCTATCCCATCATTGTAAACAACAGCATTCCAGTCGTCCCCCCTCACCACCCGACCGACTTTAGCCCACGTTTCATTTTCTTTTCAAACAATCAAAGTCTCGCATATCGGCGACTCCTCGGATCAGAGATTTCTTTTCTTCTTTCCGCCCACAACTCGCCGCTGATATTACGCAACGTTGCCTCTGCCCACCGCGCACGCGCACAACGCTCCGCACACCATGGATACTAGCTACTTGGCCCAACAGGTCAATAGCAGTATTGGCCAGCTGCACAGCCTGTTTGACGAGATTGGCGTCGCCACGCATGAGCGCCAGGCACGCGAGTCAGAGGTAGGCATCTTGGTTTGCGCGACTCCTGCTGGGAAGCGGCCGTGTGCTAATCCCTTCTGCGACAGCTCTTCTCGGCTCTTTCCGAGGCCCTCAACAACCAAGTCCGGCTCGTCAATTCCGAAAAGAAGGAAATGATTGACGAAGCAAAGACCATTATTACCAGAATTCGCGAAATGGAGACTTCGCTTGACGACTCCAAGGGCCGACGGGACTATGACAGCGACGACATCACAATAACTTATCCCCTCAATCACTGCCTGCAAACCCTGAGGGAAAAGCAGACTCATATTGCTCGCCTGCATAGGGAGCGCTTCGAGCAAATAAAGAGTATGTTGGAATCTCAATTTCAGAGGCTAGAACTTTTGCTAAAATATTACAGAGCTCGTTCAAGCACTCGAGTCGTACTCGTCGCATCTTGAGCCCACCTTTGTCCAGATTGCACTACCACCCACAGGCCCAAACCAAACCATCCCGACCAATTTTGACCTCTCCCCTTCCTACGTCGACAGACTTGACCGCGAATTTACTCGCGTCTATGATGAATACACGCGCCGAATCGCCTCGGTCCAGTCGCTAGCCGACACCATCATTAAGCTGTGGGCCGAGCTTGGCACGCCCCAAGCCCAGCAAGAGGGCGCCATTGTCAAATACTACCGCGAGGCGCCGGAGCAGCTGGGTCTCCATGCCGAGGATATTAAGCGACTTCAGTCCAAGAAAGATCGCCTTGCCGACGAAAAGAAGAATCGCGAGAAGAAACTGCGCGATCTCAAGGCAGCCGTTGAGGCGCTCTGGACAAAATTGGGCATCGACGAAGCTGAAACCAAAGCGTTTGCCAACGCCAACCGTGGGTGCGGCCTGCGCCAAATCAATGAGTTTGAGGACGAGCTGGCTCGATTGAATGAAATGAAGCGCCAAAACCTGCACCTGTTTGTCGAAGACTCGCGCGTCCAATTACAAGCGCTGTGGGACGCCCTGTACTTTTCGGAAGACGAGATGCTTGAATTTACGCCAGCCTTTTCTGACGTCTACAGCGATGCTCTTCTCGAGGCGCACGAGCGCGAGATTGCCCGATTGGAGGCTCTCAGGGAGCAGCGGGCTCCTGTGCTGGCTCTAGTGGACCGACACAAGAGTCTGATCAAGGAGCGCGATGAACTGGCCACTTCGAGCCAGGATGCGTCCCGACTCATGCTACGCGGGCAAAAGGGCGAAAAGCGTGATCCCGGTAAGCTGTTACGCGAGGAGAAGTCGAGGAAGCGCATTGCCAAAGAGCTTCCCAAGGTTGCTGCCGAAGTCGTTAAGATGCTGGAACGGTGGGAGGACGAATATGGCCGCCCATTCCTTGTGTTTGGCGAAAGATACCTGGACGAGTGCGAAGACAGTGGCCCCAACAAGGCTGTGCCAACAACCCGCTCCAAGACACCAGCCGGCGCACCGCCGTCTACCGCCAAGATGCCCAAATCTGGACACAAGGGCAACATTGCCAAGTCGATACCGCCTCGGACAATGACAAAGACTCCCACGGCCACGGGGCCCAGGAAGGCTCCTACAACAATTCAGTCTGCTGTGGCCAGAACCGCCAGTCCGACTCGTACCGGCCGCGAAAGCCCGACTCGGACCGGCCGTAATAGCCCATCGCGAATTCCTGCCCGCGCACCGCTTTCCAATTTGAAGCACGGCAACAACTCTCCCGAAAGACCGCGACCGGATTCTCGCAGCGAGACGCTGCGTAACGGTGCACCGATGAGAGCGCCACCCCCTAAGATGCGCGACCTCAAGTCTGTGCCAGAGCTGCAAACACCGTCGAATCCCTACAAGGGCGCAGGTCTAGGGCCGAATATTGCTCGCGACATTGATCCGGAAGACGTGTACGACGAGAGATGGCAGACGTCAAGAGACCGGTACGGCTCTCAAGGGTCGCAAGAGCGCTCCGACTACGGCGATGACCGATACGCCACCATTAGAGCTGGGCACTACGGCTACACGCCTGAGGGACCGCCGCGGCACGTCTCGAACACATCGTCAGCGGCGATTTCGGGGTCTGAGAATTGGGAAACGTACGACGATAACAGCGAGCCGGAACCCGATGCTTCAGACGCCTACTACGCTAAGCTGCGGGCGGCGCGGTGCAAACGTCAAGAGCCCGAGTACAGCCACGGCGCAGTGCCGGCTCAGCCGAAGCGTTTACGCGGGATACCGCCGCCGATAGGCTACACGGGGCCGGTGATGATTGACGAAGACGGAAACCGTATCGTTTCCGGCAGCGAATGGGGTGACTCGGACGTGTTTTGATAAGCGAAAAGGATGTATTCGGCACACTGCTTCAAATGAGATATGCACGGCATGACACGAACCGTATGCATCTCACGACATGATCTTTTTCTGGCCTGGAAACGTTGTACAGCTACTTTCTCATGCCCCTCACTCTGGTACATTCTTGTTGACTTTGTTGTTTATTCGGCTACTACGTACTGGGCTACGTATACATATTCTTGGTCTATTTTGTTTTTGCCAAAGCCGTCTCTCACGGCGGCGAGGTTCTGTTGTATCTATCGCGGTTCTCTGCTCTCCATATTGGAAGCCTGGAAACGTCTCTTGGTTGGAAGATGGCGACTGCCATTGATTTGTGAATACTCTGTACTGTTGGAAAGGAGTGAAGAAAATAAAGGAAGAGGTCGAGACAAAAGCCACCGCTATATGGATAAGTGGCAAATATCTGAGAGACTTTTTTTCTTCTTTTATTGGGAATAGCAACGGCGTTGGAATTATTTGCTTTCTTGTTCTTGTTCTTTTTTTTTTCTCAATGTTCTTCGAGAGGTATATATACAGTACAATATATAGCGTTGTTGACTTGCTCTGTATGCATCGGACCCTGTGCGAGGATGACGTACACCCGTGCAACCGTGTCCCGTATTGACGCGCATTAGAATTTATCCACGTTCATTTATAATTTGTGGATGGTTCGTATTTGTTCTTGAATGTGCCGCCCTTTTTTCCAACGGTGAAATTACTGGTCTAGGTCCCCTGCAGTTATTGACTAGCCCACTGCCCCCTGTGGCGGGTCGAGTATGTCTTGGATTGTGGTGCATCGGCCGCTGTGGCGCAGTTTGACAACCAGCCCTGTCTTGTAGAGAAACGGAACTGACCAGCCAGCCAATATCACGAGGAAATATCATAATTCGAAAGGCAAGTATTAATCAATTGTATTCCATTGCTGAATAGCATTTTGGCAGCTGGTAAATACCCATTGGTAATTAGCCCCCTAAATGAACTGTCGAGTCCATCTTTGGAGTGCAGCCGCTGTTCCTCCCCCCAAATAAGCCCCAACCGTTTCGACTGCCGCCCGCCGAGGCTGCCTGTCCACCAACCTCCTTACGTCGACTCCTTCACCTCACTTCCAACACGCCTCACCTCTCCCTCTTTTGCCTTCCCTCTTCTTTTCTTTTTCATTTCGCAGATTTTCTCATTCATTCGTTCTTTCCATTCCGTGTTTTTTCCATTTCTATCCAAGCCATTGCTCTTGAGCCCGCCCCATCCGCCTCCTTCCATCTAATCGTCTCGCCATAACGAAACAACCACAAACGCTAGCATCGAAACGCCCGCGCATCGTCCTCGACCGATTCGCAAACCCTCCCGCCCTGCCAACCCCTTGGCTCTAATGTCACCTCGAGCTGCCACCTGGTGATGAATCCTGCGGCTGGCTCCCGCACCGCAGGGTCGCCAGACGACGCCGCCACTGTCGCTTTACAGGGCGCCTCGCTGGCCTTTCAGAAACGACCACCCGCGCCGCAACCCGCCAGCTCCCAGCATTCCCCCCTCTCCGCCGGCCTGCGCTCCTCGAGCAAGCACACAAACACAACGCCGGACAGCAGCCGTAGCCGTAGCCCGCCCCTGCAGAACCAGCAGCACAGCCTCGAGCACTACCGCGAGAATGGCGCTCTCCTCGCCGCGACGTCATCGGTGGAGAGGGCCAAGAGCCCCGGCGCTGCCGCGGGCCAGCAACGATTCCCGCATCTCCGTCCGCATCCGGACCAGCACGTCGTTGCTGCGGATGCCTCGCCGCCGGGGCTAGAATCCGACGACACGCCCCTCGCTGCGGGTCTTGTGGCGGCGCGCCTGCGACAGCTGGACGTGGCACCGACGACGACTATCGCGAATCACACACACGCGGCTGCCGCGAGAGCTCCGTCCACTTCGCCGTCGTCGCATCTGTCCCTGGGGCTCTCGCCGCAGTATCCGGCTGGCGTAGTTAAGCTGGGTGCTAAAAGTCCGAGCCTCATTGCGGCGACATTGGCGGCGAGTCGCGGCGGCAGTCCAACGCCGACGACGTTGCGGAAACCCAGGCAGATGCAGAGCGTGAATGCGCTGCAAGAGGTTGATACGGTTGATTCGCAGCCGATTCCTACAACAGACTCACTTATTTCCTTGTTTGAAGCGGATAACTCGGGCGGTAAGCATGCTTCGACGCCACGGCAAAAACCGGCATCTTTGTCTCCTGCCAGGAAAAGCACAAAACCAGCGTCCTCGCCAGTACAGCCTGTGGTTCGAAAGAGCGCACGTCCGACATCACTGCCCATCAAGCAGACCACCGCCGCGGCCATACCTACCACATCCAAGCCGACTTCCAAGCAACGAAGTGCCAGAGCCCAGTCGTCTGATGACCCCCCGACACCTCCGCAGCCGGGCAGGAAGTCTGCTGCAGCCGCACCTCGACGACCGCCAACACCGCCAGTAGTCACGGATACTACGACAGTTTCAGCTTCAACAACACCTGCATCTACATCGAAAAGAATCGTGCAAGTGGCAGCAAGCAAACCTCGCGTGACACCGCCTAAAGCTAGAGAGACTCTCGAGGTCGATGGCGCGTCTTCCGCCACAACACCTCCCAAAGTCATTTCTCGATCCAAATCAACAACTGCGATGAACAAGTTGGACGCCATCGGAGAAGTAGCTACTCCGCGAAAGCATTCACGGAGGCCGCCTCCATTGGCATTGTCAAAAGAACTCAAAGATGAGGGTACTCCTGGCCCATCACAACCCGACAATGGCACACCAGCGACACCAAGGCAAAAGTCTCCTACGCCTCACGTCATTAGCAGATCAACACCAGAAGTGCTGTCGCCCAAACCTACTCGCATCACCAGGTCCGCTTCCCTCCGATCTGGCACGCTACCACCTGCCATTGTCCTCGGTCCGGCATCTGATGTACAGTCACCACCATCAGCGGATCCCAAGAAACGCAAAGTCGCTGAGAAACGACCGCCCACCCCACCAAAGCCACGAAACAGCCATAGGCTGGCGCCTGTTAGGCCTACTAGCGGTCGGCCACGCGGCAACTCGGACACACCTCTCTCAAAAGCAACTTCTCCAAACAGCATGTGGGGTTTGCCCATTGTATCAAGCAATACTTCAACCATACCCAAGGCTAGTAAATCACAACCGTCACCGCCAAACAGGCGCGACTCAATGATCAGCGCACCGCCATCGCCTACACACGAACCTCCGGGGAGACAACCCTTACAGTCGTCTGCCAAGCCGATGCCACTCAATTCCATGACCAATGCCATCATGGCGAGCTCATTGGCGTCGTCCCGCTTGACGCCTCACAACACGGGCTCTTCGCTACCGCCGCCACCACTGCCAAAGCGCCAAAAGTCACCTCATCTGCTTCATACCCTACGTCAACCCCACAGTGAGCCCGAGGAGGGTCACGACAGGCAACGGAAGAGCCATCGGCATAGATTGCACGGCAACAAGCACACACATCATGAAGGGTCGCGTAGACGTTGGAGGGACCAAGTTAGCGAGAAGGAGCGGAAGAGATATGAGGCGCTGTGGGCCTCGAACCGTGGCATGCTGCTCACACACGAAAGCCCTTCTGCTAGCGTTGGCAGTGGTCTCGGCACGGAGCTGTCCGAGTGCGTGGCCAATGTTGTCGTGCGTGACATTTGGAAGCGCTCCCGTCTACCGACCGAGGAGCTGGCAGAGGTGTGGGAGCTGGTTGACCGTGAGCATAGAGGCTACCTCACGCGGCAAGAGTTTGTGGTGGGCATGTTTCTCATAGATCAGCGGCTCAGGGGACGAAAACTGCCTCCCAAGGTATCGGACAGTATATGGGGAAGCGTAAATGGCGTGACGGTGTGGAAGCCGCGGCCAAAGCATTGAGCGTTGGGGGCGAGACGAGCACTTGGGCAGGACAGAAATTGCAAATATAGATGCGAGAGACCCTCAAGATGATTGGCAGCAGACTTGATACCCTGTATATACATCCATACCAATAATGTCCTTGGCAATTGAAGCATTGTTAAACCACCTAGCGTGTATTTTTTGTCCCCACACTCAATCTGGCGATCAAGTGGACTCGCGTGCTGTTGCAACTTGTAAGTGAGGTCATCTGGGGGCACGCAGATAAGCACGGGGCTAGAGTTGCGGACTTTTGGGCAGATTTCCCCCGAAAACCGGGCACACTTGTAGTTATTTAGTTTTCTAGTTCACATACTAATCTATTTTCGATAGTTTCCCCCTCCTTGAATGCAACGACAAAGCGGCCTTTTCCTTGCCGAAAACCGTAAGCACAGCGAAGCAGGCAATGTGGAGCACAAGTTGTAAGCTCGGGGTTCCAGCCAACCAACCTACGTACGGGCTACTAATAATAACCAAGGGGCCCTTTCAAAAAAAAAAAAAAAAGAGTCGGCCCTCGTCGATTGCGCCACCCAACGGGAATCTAACCTAGGACAAGGATCGTCGCTCGGTAGCGAGGCAAGGAAAGATTACAAGGTGAAATCTGGAGCGGGGTTGTCTACGCAAGTTGCCAAGTGGCGAAAAAACTCACGTCGAGGCCGTTTGCGTGTGGGAAAAAGACAACAGGGCAGAGAGATTACGAAATCTTGCATGTTACATGCAGAAAAGGCAAAGAGAAAGAACACAGTGAAGAAGAAGGCAACAACAACAGCAACCACAACAACCACAACAACAAGACAAATGCGGCAACCATGTACATGATACGCCCGCGACCGGTGCGATCGCATCAACACTCGCAGCTCCTCCAGACGGAGCAATTTTTCCAAAACGGATCGCTGGCATGGCGGTACGACCAAGACGACGATGATGAGCACGAGCACGAGTACGACTCGGACTCGGACTCGGCGCCGGCCTACATGGACGTGGGCCACTTTCGCTGGTTCTGGCCGTGGGGCGTCCGGCGCAGCTCAACCTTTGACACGATGCCCTCTGGTTCGCAGCGGCTTCCCCTCGCCGCCCTCCTGGCCCCGTCATCCATTACGCCCCAGCCCTCGAGCCTGCTGCTGACGCGGCTGCCCGCCGAGCTACGGCTGCACATTTGGCGGCTCGTGCTGCAGACGCGGTGCAGCGCGGTGTGGACGTACGATGCGCGGTCGCCGGCATGGCGGCCGGACCGGCGGGGCGCGCCGTACATTGACGCGGCGCTGCTGCGGACCTGCAAAGCCGTGTACGCGGAGACTTGGGACCTGCCGATGCGGCTGACGCGCGCGGTGCTGGCGGACGGGAGCCCTGCGGACAAACCCGGCGAGTGGGCCGGGGTGGTGCTCGCGCCGGGGGTGCTGGTGCCGCACGCGTGGCAGGTGCTGCTGCTGAGGGAGGCCGAGGTGACGATGCAGCATTTTAGGCTCGAGGCCGGGTTTTTGGAGGCGTGGGTGACGGCGCTGGGCAAGTTGAAGGCGGCGGCGGCGACGTGCGTGGCGGATCTGGTGAGGGAGAGGAGGGAAGCAGGAGAAGGAGAAGGAGAAGGAGAAGGAGAAGGAGGGGGGGTGGTGAATGAAGAGGTGGTGAGGGTGCTGGGGGAGAGGCAGCCGCTGGAGGAGATTGTGGTGAGGATGAATAGGATGGATTGGTGGACGTGGACGAGTACGCCGCCGAAGCCGTGGCCGGAGAGCCTACCCGGGGAGTGTGTGGCGGATGTGAGAGGCGTGGGGAGGCGAAAGAGCAGGGCAACGAGGCGTACAAGGGGAGAAGAGGAATGGGAGGAGCAGAGAGGGAGATGGATAAGAAAGGATGAGAATGAGGATGGGGATGGAGGTGATGCGTCGTCGGGGCAGCAGACGGATGAGGAGACTATAGAGCAGGATATACAAAGCCATAATGGAGGCATTGTGCTGGAGGACACGACAGTTACGAGTGAGATGAGCTACGGCCACGTCGACGACGAAGAAGACGACGACGATGACGATCTCGGCGGCTACTTTTCCGACCACACCGCCAGCAGCACCGCCTCCTCCGCCGTCTACGTCTTTGACGCCGCCACGCTGCCCTCATCCCTGCACCTCACGCCCCTCGCCACCGGCCTCTGGGACCGCAACCCCTCGTACGGCGTGCTCTCGCCGCACCTGCGCATCACGCTGATGCTGGAGACGTTTGGCCCCAAGAGCCTGCAGCTGGACGCGGCGCTGGCCGAAGCGCAGACGTGGCGGCTGCCGATGCCGCCAGACCACCACCAGGAGGGCCGGGTGCTGGCGTGGGATGGGAGGCCGGTGCGCGAGTATCACTGGCTGAGGGATGTGGGCGGCGAAGAGGCGGAAGGAGCGGCGTTTTTGAGGATGCCGGAGCTGAGGGCCACGGCAGAGGGCGTGGTGGTGAAGATGATGACGCTGGTGCCGAGGAGTGCGTAAACGCGTACCTAGGGACGGGAAAGGGGAAAGGAATGGTTGTTATACCCATATTGAAATCAATTCGCTGAGCGGAGAGCTGCTTCGTAAGAGATGCCATCTATCTATCTCACACCATTATGTGTGTGTGCGATGCATGCTCTTCCTCCCAATCACCACCATCATCACCGCTTCCTTTACTCCTCTCTCTTCTTCTTCTCTCCCCGGACCAGCACCGCCACCGTCGTCGCCGGCTGCACCTTGAACGGCACCATACCCAACCCGCCCATCAGCGCCCTCATCGTCAGCGAGTGAAACGTCCACGCCACCACCTCGCCCGCCCCGTCCCCCTCATCAAACACATCCTCCAGGACCCTCATCACCCGCTCCCGGTTCTCCGTCTCCGTCTCGGCGCGCTGCTCCGCCCGCATCGTCATCGTCAGCAGATCCTCTTCGGAAAAGCTGTCTTCAATCTCGCATGCGGGCCAGCGCGCGGCGATCCATGCGCGCGGGCGCCGCATGTTGGCCGTGTGCGTGGTCCATCTCTCGCGCAGGCCTTCTTTGATGATTGTTGGGCGGTGGGATATGCCCCCGCCGCCGGGGGCACTCATCAGAGGCTGCAGGTAACGCTCCGCGGTCTGCAGACAACGCGTCAGAGGGCTCGCGTAGTGAGACTGCGGGACGGGGAGACCTGCGGTGGAGAGCCACTGCGCGGCGAGTGCGTCGGCCTGTGCGATGCCAACGTCGGTGAGGAGGGCGTCAAAGCACTGCGCCTCGGCGTCGTCGCCGTGATTCTTACACGTCACAGTATCAGTGAAAAGCTACTACACGGGGGGACCAGGGGGGGTTGAAAGTAACACTTGGCACGTACCTCGTCACATGTCTCGCCCGCGGCGGCCTTGTCCTTCATGGCATTGTGGAAGCCCTGGGCGTGCCGAGTCAGAAACATGATCTTGTACGAGACATTGTCCGGTGCCTCGCGGTTGAGCGCCTGGACATGATTGACGAAGCGCGCCCACGGCGGCTTGTCCGAGTTTGCCGCAGCATCGGACGGATAAGCGCGCAAAGTGAGCGCGAAGAGCGGACGGGTGGTGAGCCTGCTCTCGGGTAGCTGGGCGGCGAGCGGGACGCAATCGTCAAAGTAGCCCTCGGGAGCGCTGAATGTCCATTTACCCATCTTTTTTTTTGTTTCCTAAACAAGTTTTTGAGGAGAAAGAAAGAGGCAGAGGTGTGTGTAGAAGACAAGTTTCTGAGCAGTGCGTGCTTGGATGAGAGAAGCTTTATAAGTAATAGCGATAATTGCAGCTACTTAGAGAGGTGCCCGTGTTACACGAGCGCTTTCACAGCCAACGTGAATAGCGCAGGTAAGCAAAGGGGCATAATCGGATCTATTTTCATGTCAAGTTCAAGATGATGCCTGTGTTATTATGATCGTGTGCGTTGATGCGTCTGGGATGCACATCAGGGTCTCAACATGGCCAAAGAAATCGTCAGGATACATTGTGATGTCTCGGCAACTCAAGTTCAGTTGTCAACAGTCTTTTTGATGATTAGAGTTGTAAAGGACTGCGCCAAACTTTTTCTCAAAGGACTGCGCCAGCTCTCCTATTCAAGGGTCTGCGCCTTGATGGAGCCTGTCTGGCTTCACTCAGACTTTTCAAGTCAACTTGGCTAATTCTGCGTGACAGCCTCTGTTCATTCCTGCAGGTTGCTCTTACCATGCAACGTATACAACATGCCCCAAGTGATCGCACTCTATTCTATTTACTATAGTTAACAGCGAGAATGACTAGCGTAGACGGCATTTCGGAGCATTTGTTCAACTCCCACCGTTAGACTTTAGCAGGTGATGAAAATGGTGGTGTAGATGCTTGAATTTGCTTGCTAGTAGTGGCTTGATTCTGGACTACCTACTGGATAAGCGTGGGCAACTGCACTACAGTACTTCCACTGCCGCGCTGATTACATACCGAAGCTAAGTACCTGTTTTTCTTACCTTGCCTACCTTAGGTAGTTGCCTACCTACCTAGGTAGGCAAGGGGGTGACAAAAAAGCTGGCCAGCCGCGTGGTAGGCTACTCAATTGGACCACACATCCCTGCTAGTGACCGCTGTGGTCCTTCCTGACAGGCTATAATCAACCGCTGTAATCCGTAGCCCACCAACCCACCTACCCCAGAGTGCCCAGATAGCAACCGATAGATAAACTTCCAAGCTACCAACCACACCAACCCCTCCCCCTCCAAATCGTTCCTGCAGCTTTTTTCCCGAGTCCCTTCAGCTTGAGAAGATAAAAGAGTACCCAAGGCAAAGGCAATGTCACACGCACACGACGGTGTTTCCCACTCGCATGATGGCGGCTTCAACGCCCAGGAGCACGGCCACTCGCACGAGATTCTCGACGGGCCGGGCAGCTACGTCGGACGCGAGATGCCCATTGTCGAGGGTCGCGAGTGGGCTGATCGAGCCTTTACCGTTGGCATTGGCGGGTGAGTGTTTTGCCCGTTGCCCTTCCCCCCCCCCCCCCCCCCCGTTCCTTGAAGGTAAAAAAGAAGAGACAAGGTCAAGTCAAACTGTAAAGCAAAACGCACGACTAACCAACAAAACAGCCCCGTCGGCTCCGGCAAGACGGCGCTCATGCTTGCCCTCTGCCTCGCTCTCCGCCAAGAGTACTGCCTCGCCGCCGTCACAAACGACATCTTTACGCGCGAGGACGCCGAATTCCTGACGCGCCACGCCGCGCTGCCCCCCGCCCGCATCCGCGCCATTGAGACGGGCGGCTGCCCCCACGCCGCCGTCCGCGAGGACATCTCCGCCAACCTCGCCGCCCTCGAGGACCTGCACCGCGAGTTCTCCACGGACCTGCTCCTCATCGAGTCGGGCGGCGACAATCTCGCGGCAAACTACAGCCGTGAGCTCGCCGACTTTATCATTTACGTCATTGACGTCAGCGGCGGCGACAAGGTTCCCCGCAAAGGCGGCCCCGGCATCACGCAGAGCGACCTGCTCGTCGTCAACAAGACGGACCTGGCCGAGGCTGTCGGCGCAGACTTGGCCGTCATGGAGCGGGACGCGCGAAAGATGCGCGAGGGCGGACCCACGGTGTTTGCGCAGGTCAAAAAGGATGTGGGCGTGCAGCACATTGTCAATCTGGTGCTGAGTGCCTGGAAGGCCAGCGGCGCCGAGGAGGAGCGCAAGAGCAAGGGCGGACCCCGGCCAACGCCTGGTCTTGAGGAGCTGAACAAGTAAACGATGGAGCGGTATTTAAAAGATTATGTCATAAGGGTAAAACCAAATTGCTGGAGCTACAAATCAACGATGGAACTGATTCTGAAGAGAATGTCACAAGGGCGAAATTGATTTGCTGTGGCTACAAACCGCACATGGACCCGAAATAATTTGACGTTTTTATTTCTGCTAACCTAAGAATCCTGTTTTCCCAACACGTGAAGCGTAGTCCGTTGTCATGATATATAAGCGTGAATCTCATTCATCTGTGTGCTATTCCCCGTTTTGTGCAAGTCATGATTCGTATATACCTTTTTCTCACGCCATGGTCAAGTCGCCATCAGCCTCGACGGCACCCGCCACATCGCCGCCAGCCTCCAGCAGAGGCCCGCGGACCGGCCTAGCATTGCGCGGCCACACCCTCTTGTACAAACTGACGCCGATGGAGTCCTGCGGGTTGATGCGCCCGTCAAACGTGGCCTTGAAGTAGCCGTGCGTGCCGAGCGGCTCCTTGATGTATCCGCTGCGGCCGCGCCTCGTCCACAACGGCATGGCCTTGAACCACTCAACGTCCTCGCGGTTGAAGAACATGTAGCGGATGGTGACAATCTTCTTGTTGATGTGGTACGGGTGGCCGGTGAGGATGATGCGCTTGGCGACGACGCGGCTCGTCGACGGCGGCAGCGCGGTGCCGGTGCCGACGAGCGTCAGGCCGGGGCTGCTCGGACCGTCGCCCTCATCAGAAGCGGCGTCAGGCGCAGTGCGCTTGAAGAAGAGGACGGGGACCGCGCCCCATGTGACGGGGCCCAGGAACGTGGCGACGGCGGTGCCGCCGGGGTGCAGGAAGCGCGCGTACTTGTGCACGTCGTTGGGCGTGGTGCCCGCCTGTGAGAATAGCGGGTTGATGACCATGCGGCGCGGCCCGCACTGGACAATGAGCTCCTCCTTGGACTTGACCGAGTGGCCGTAGTCGGAGCTCAGGTTGAAGAGGTAGTTGACAGCCGTCTTCTTGTTCTCGTGGCGGAACAGCGAAAACAGCGTGACAATGGACGAGGGCGTAAAAGACTGCGCCAGAGCGGGGGACATGCCCTTGATAAAGACTTGCACGCGTGTGCCGGGCTCGACGCCGCCGACGAGGGCCTCGCGGACGGCGCGCGACTTGGATGAGCCGTAGTCGGGAATCTGCAGCAGGCGGCGCCAGTCCTCAGGCTCGTGGGCGCGGTCCTCGTCCTCCTGCCAGGCGCTGGTGCGCAGGCTCTTGAGACCGCGGTAGCGGGCCAGTCGCTCGCGGGCAAGCACGTGCGGGTGCAACTCAACCTCGTCAGGGAACTCCTTGTCATCTTCGACCTCGTTGCGCTTCTGGGAGCGGTAATGGGCCAGCTGCTCGGCGTCGGCCGCCTCGTCCAGCTCCTCCATCATCTCGGACTGGGGATACTCGGAGGGGCCGGCTTCGGTGGGCTCGGGCTGAGCGTAGCCTTCGATGCCGTCTTCCGGCGCGGCTTCGTACTCGGCAGCGTGGGCATCTTCCATCTCCATATCTTCCATGTCTGACTCGGAGTCGGACACGTCCTCCAGGTACCAGGCCGACTGGTACTTGGACGTTCCCTTAGGCACCTTTCTCTTTGCTTGCTCTTCCCTCTCCTCCTCACCATCGGAAAAGTAGTGGTGGTCGTCGAGCAGGACACCCTTCTTGGGAGCACCGGAAAGATCCTCAGGCTCCTCCTCGGCGTCCATAGCGACGTCCTCGGGAGCCAGCTCATTTAAGTCGTCCCGATCGTCGCTGGGTTCCTCCAACACCTGGCTAGCCTCTTCTTCAGCAGATTGTGTAGCGTTGGCCTTGCCGTGTTTGGCGAGTGGCGCAGCCACAATCTTTTCAATTTGAAAAGTACCCCAGTCCCCGACTTGCACCAGCCTGTCAGCTTTGAGACCACGGCCACGAACAACGCCTGTTATGACAGTAGCGTCAGAGTCTGCATTGGCAAACTGGATATCATCAGCAAGCATCCAGCTCCGCTCATCCCTCCACCGCACACCCTTGGGCGTTGTGTTGCATAGTGAGCGCATTAAATTGGCGCATTCTTGTCTATTTTCGAGGCTGAAGACCTTTTCCTGCTCGGGGTGGAAATGCGTGATGAACGACTTGAGAGAACTGACAACGCCTGGGCGCTGCTTGGCAGGTTCGATTTTGTCGAGACCCTGAACGACGGTGAACAGGGTAGAGAGACCCTGACTCTCGACTGCACGCAATATAAGCTCGCCGAGGGGGTCGACCTCGACTGAGGCAGAGAGCACAACGACGACAAAGTCGGCAACACGGGTGGCATCGAGACACTGGGTAAGGTCGCGCTGTAGGGGAATATACTGAAGCTTCTGTTTGAAGCGATCGACGGGGACTCGAAAGCTGCCGGGCTGTACATCGGCGGTGATGTCTAAGCTGCCGTTGAGTTGCTGGATAGCAGCGGCGGCGTCGCCATCGGGGCAGAGAGGGAGAACAGCAACGATTCTGGGGGCCCCCTCACGGCTGTTGAAGACCGAAGAACTCTTGAGGTGCTCCTTGTGTTTGGTGAGGCGGGCCTGCTTGGCCTGGTTGCGTCGGTCGAACTTGGACATGACTTGCTGGTGGGGGGTCTTGCGCGATCCTTTTTCGTTGGGAACTCGGCCTGTAGCAGAAAAAGAAAAATTAGAACTCGGCCAGGTTAAATATTTAAAAAAGCAAGTATCTGTTGTACCCTTGGCACGGTCTCGCAGCTCGTGCTTGGAAGCGGCCTTTGACTTGAAGGGCTTATGAGAAACCTTGGTGGTTGGCCTATGCGAATGGGCCACAGCGGTAGGCATTTTGCCCTCACCGGCTTTGAAGCGGAATGGAAGAGTGGCCAGATTGAACACTATGCACTTTAGGTCGTGGGCAATACAAGAGAGTTTTCTGTTGACTAAAGGAAGGTAGACGGCGCAAGACTTGCAGATGCGGTATTGAGAGGGCAGCGGGGTGGATGGTTATCTAGAAATTTTTGTGTGGCCAGCGCCGATAAGTTTTTAGCGGTGGATGCCCGATGAGACACCGTGATGGCGAGGGCCACGGGAGCTTGCGAGGAAGAACCTGGTTGACCCAAAAAATCGCATGTCTGAGAAGGAAAACTTGATTCAGTTGAAGAATTCGTTAATAATTAATTTTGCCATAAAATCAGGTGAATTGTACCTTTGCCGTTGCTGGCATCACGGATGGATGGGCAGTCTCTTTTGAGCAAGTGGGGATAGAACGGCTTATCGATACTAAACTTTTTTTTCGTCGACCTCGAAATCGCTTCTGGCGTAACGAGGCCGGTCCACTCCATGGCTTGCTAGGAAATTTTGTACCAAACTACCGACCAAACTCACCGGTGTTTCTCGTTCAAAACATTTTAAAATTCCTCGAGCACCCGCGACAATGCCAACAGACGGTTTGTCCGCGGCCAGTGCTGCCGTGCGCGACAATGGCGCCGTCAGGGTAACTACAGAGTCCAGGACCGACCTCATCCCCCGGCACGAAAAAGAGAGAATGAGGCGCTTGCGCGAGGCCAAAAAGGCCTATGGCCGCGGCAAGCACATCGACACCAACAATATCCGCGACAAGAAGCTGCGAGGAAACATGAAGCTGCTCGAAGGAAAATACCTAGAGGCGACCGTCAAGGCCAAGGATGCCGAGATTCTGCTCGAAAACACTTCGGGCTTCCTCGAGGCTGAAGGCGACATGGAAAAGACGTACAAGGTCCGCCAAGAAGATATCCTGCCGGAAGTTGCAATGGAAACGGCCACGAAGCGTTTCGAGCTCAAACTGGATGCGCTGGGTCCCTACGTATTTGACTACACGAGGAATGGTAGAGAATTGCTCCTTGGTGGACGAAAGGGTCACATTGCGAGCATGGACTGGCGCGAAGGAAAGCTCGGCTGCGAGATTCAGCTTCGCGAAACCGTGCGAGATGTCAAGTGGCTGCACAACGATCAATTCTTTGCAGCTGCGCAAAAGAAATTCGTTTACATATACGACCGCGACGGAGTCGAACTGCACTGCCTGCGCAAGCATATCGAGCCAACACATATGGAATTTCTGCCCTACCATTTCCTTTTGGCCACTATTGTAAGGAAAAATGCGGCATGGCCCCAAAGATAAGTACGTATAGCTGACTCAGTGAATAGGGAAACGGCGGCGTTATGCGATACCAAGACACATCTACCGGCCAACTTGTAGCGGAAATTCCGACCAAACTCGGACAGCCCGTCTCGCTAGGCCAAAACCGTTACAATGCGATCATGCACGTCGGACATCAAAATGGTGCAGTCACATTATGGTCGCCCAACTCACAAGAGCCGCTGGTCAAGCTGCTCGCCCACCGGGGTCCAGTGCGCTCGCTGGCCATTGATAGAGTCGGCCGTTACATGGTATCAACAGGACAGGATCAAAGAATGGCAGTGTGGGACATACGAATGTTCAAAGAGGTCAACAGCTACTTCACCAGACAACCAGCCTCGTCGGTAGCAATCTCCGACAGCGGCCTGACCGCCGTGGGCTGGGGCACCAAGACGACGATATGGAAGGGCTTGTTTGACAGCAACGCCGCCGTGCAACAAAAAGTACAAAGCCCGTACATGGCCTGGGTCGGCGAGGGCCGACGCGTCGAGCGCGTCCAGTGGTGCCCGTACGAGGACGTGCTCGGCCTCGGCCACGACCAGGGCTTCTCGTCCATCATCGTGCCCGGCGCCGGCGAGGCCAACTTTGACGCCCTCGAGACCAACCCGTTCGAGACCAAGAAGCAGCGCCAAGAGTCCGAGGTCAAGGGCCTGCTCAACAAGCTGGCGCCCGAGATGATTGCCCTCGACCCCAACTTTGTCGGGAAGCTCGACCTGCGCTCCGACGCCCAGCGCAAGGCCGACAGAGACCTCGACAAGCCCGATGTCGACGTGGCCGAGGAGATTCGCAACCGGGCCCGCGGCAAGAATGGCGCGCTCAAGAAATACCTGCGCAAGCAGAGGAAGAAGAACATCATCGACGAGAAGAGGATGCGCGTCGACGAGTTGTGGAACGAGCAGCAAAAGCAAAAGGACAAGAAGCGACAGGAGGTGGAACAGGATCTCGGCCCGGCGCTGGCTCGCTTCGCCCGCAAGGAATGATACCAGTGGCAGTAGACGGATTTCACCTCCGACATGTATATATAATACCCACGAAAATGTACAGCGTCACCATGTTTTCCAGCATTGTATAAGAATCTGAGAAAAGTGACTTGAAACTCTCTATGCCCATGTTTTCATGCTCCGTACCGAGTCCAGCGTTGTTACATCCCAAAAAAGTTCGTGCAATATGCGCCATAAAATTCCCAGTCTCGAAAAAAAAAAAACTTTTTCCCTTTTTGCCTCGCGATTAAACGTCCGCATATGTCGCTCGTACATGCCCTCTACAGGAGCTTGAGGTGGCCGGTCACCTCGTCGATGAGGCTTCTGGGCGCAGGGCCGACGCCCAGGACCGTCATGCTGCCCGCCTCAATCTGGGTGCGGCCAGCATCCTTGACGACCTCGGCGGTGAGCCCCATGCCTCGAGCCTTGCGACACATCTGCAGCATCTCGTCCTGGCTCTTGACCTGCACGGCAATCTTGGCCTGGCCGTACTTTTCCCAGCGGGCCAGCATCTTGCGCTCGGTCGAGTCGGCGTCGGGGTTGCCGGCGAGGGCCTTGTAGCAGGCGAGGGTGGCGTGAGAGCACTGCGCGGCGATTTTGCCTGCAGCAGCAGCAAATGTCGTCCCCCAAGTTAGCTAGCTATTACACCTGCACGCGCCTGAGCCGTAAGAGATCGGGTAAAGGGCCGGGACGGGAGAGAAGAACGTTACCCTTTGTCATGCCCAGGTCGGTGCGGACGACGAGGACGAGCTTGCACTCCTCGTTGGTGAGCTTGAGCTTGGGGGCCGCCGCCGCTGCGCCAAAGCGCAGACCCTGCTTGACGTCGGCGTCCTCGGCGTTGCTCCAGTTGGGCGCGTGGTCCAGCAGCGAGTCGTCCTCGTCAACGTCGCTCTCCTCGCTCTCGACGGGGTCGTCGCGGTTGGCGCGGCGCTCGGCCTGCAGCGCGGGCGAGAAGAGGTACCCGCGGGTGGCGTACAGCCCAAAGATGTAGCCCGTCACAAACGTCGTCAGCGCCGTCGTGATTGCAACGGTGGTGTTGTCCAGAGCCATTGTCGAGAGCTTGGGCGCGCGCGCGTCGGGGAGGGCAGCGAGGGAAAGTTGGCAGCGATTGCTGGGCTTAGGGTCTCTCGACGCGACTCCCACGTGCGGTCAAGTGTTGTCTTATGAGCGTATCAAGCTCTGTGGTAGTAAAAGGGTAAAGGTAAAGAAGCTTCGTGGTGGTGTTTCGTGCGATTAGCCTAGAGGCGCGTTTAGAGCTTACTATATCAATAGCCTAATCCTAATCCATAGTTAGTCTATGTCATAGGTAGTGAGTCACATTAAATACTTTAGAGTAGTATAAGTAATATCTTTAGTATAAGGAATTATTAAGAGTTTTACTCTTAAAACTAATTACTTAGAATTACTCAGATTTATTAGTAAAGATCTAAACTACCTAGTTATAAGAGTATCTCCTCTTTTAGTATTTATTTTTTAGATAAAAAATACCTTAAATTATCTATAATCTTAGTAATTAATCTTTATAAGTTATAACTAGCTTATTATATTTTAATAATTTAGTTATATAACCATCTATTTTGATTAAGTATTTTACAAATACTTATTTCGTTATAGCTTTAGGTTATTTACTTGATTATCTTATATTTATTTTATTTATAATATAATACTCTTTTTTATTAGTTTTGTTTTTAAAACTATAGTTTTTATTTTATCTTATCTTTAATATTTATAAGTCTTTTCCTTTTTTTATATCTTTATATTTTAATATATTTAATTATATATCTAAAACCTTATTTAATAAAAACTTAATAATATTTATTCTTATTATTATTTAAAAAAAGAATTAAGGTTATTATGATATTATATTTTATTTATTACTTAGAAAAGCTTTCTTATAAAATACGAAAAGGTATTTCTTAATATAAAAATATATTTATTATAATTCTTCTTATAATAGCTAGCAACCTACGAGCGCCAGCAGGCAGGTGCTCAGGAGGTCAAAGTTCATCCTGCTACACATACCTCCTACCTCTGCGCGAACTCAGCTGAAATGCCATCCGACGCTGTCGCTGAAGCGTCCGACGCCCTAGCCAATGCCATTGACAAAGAGGAAAATGTGTTATTTTCGATGCGCTACCCGGAGCTCCAAAAGCAATTTTACGCGTCGATCCTTGAGCAAACCGTCGAGCTGGAGGATATGATTTGCAGATTGCTTCAGGTTCAAACGTGCAAGATTCATAGACAACCCAGAGCATGGAGGCATGGCAGTTTCAACGTTGCCATTATTGTGTGGCTACCATCTGGCAAAACTGCTTATTTACGGCTTCCATTTCCACACCGCATCGGAGAACGCCCGTTTCCAGGCAACCTGGAGGAAAAGATTCGTACAGAAACCGCCACCTATATCTGGCTACAGGAGCACTGCCCGAATGTACCGATTCCTACACTGTATGCTTTTGGACTGCCAGATGGCTCAATAGTATGTCTACTATCAACTATCGCCATAGTGGCTCTCCCCAGCTAACTCTTCCCTTTAGCATACACGTCCTCAAAATACTACTTGGTGGCGCAGAGCTTGGACAGGTCTACGCCGTATCTTCGCATGTCTTCTCGGCTACCCCGCCCCGATACGATATTCGCGCCATGCAACTCGTCATAGCCTTGCTTCTGGGTTTCTCCTCATGAGTGAGGCGGAAGGGGAAAGTCTCGCCTTGTCTTGGCCTAAATACTGTCATGATAAGAGCCGTAGAGAGAATCTGTTCCGCGGATTAGTACGTGTCAGTTTGTCCATGAACTCGATACCCCAACCTCGACTCGGATCATTTTCATTCCAGGACGGCAATAGCAACAGCATTAGTCTCTGCAATAGACCGCTAAATCTATATATGCATATGCTAGAGAATGAGGAGATCTTTTCAGGAATACCTCGTGGGCGTACGTACGCTGAAGTGGACTCATACATATCAGACCTGCTCTCCTTACAAGATTTCAAGCTAAGGAAACAGCCAAACGCGATCTTTGACGAGGAGGATGGCCAACGCCAATTAGCAGCGAGTGCTGGGATGCGAGCCATTATGCATCACTTCATTAACCCCGATACCCGTCAAGGGCCATTCTACGTCACGCTAAACGACTTGAGTCAAAATAACATATATGTCGATGAGCAATGGAATGTCCGATGTATTATTGATCTCGAATGGACCCATACTTTACCTGCCGAGATGCAGGCCCCTCCATACTGGCTCACATCTAAGTCTGTCGATGGGTTTGACGATCGCGACGACCTCGAAGAATACGAAGAAGTTCTGAATGAATACATTTCCATCTACAGCGAGGAGGAGATCCAACGGAACGGCTCAAACAAGCAGGCGGCAATACAGCTCAAATCATGGGAAAATGGCAGCTTCTGGTACTTCAAGGCCGCAACGATACCCAAGGGCGCTTACAACATATTCAACTGCAACATCCAGCCTATTTTCAACAAAAATCATCCCAATCAGTCCATTTTTGATAAAGTGTTCTTCTTCTACTGGGGACAGCAAGCATCGAGCTTTATAGAGAAGAAAGTGAATGAGAGGAACGACTACATAAAGGATCTCAAGGAGGCCTTTGCTTAAGATGAGCTATGTTTTAATAGAGAAGGAACTCTCTGTATTAACAATATCAGTCTTGTCAATATTTCCTTTGGGCATGACCAGCGTCGGGCGCTACCATCGTTCGAGTCGAAACTGTTTTACCTGCATTGGGGCTCCTAAGTCCTCGACGCAATCGACCGAAACCTCAAAGCGACTTCGGTTGATGCTTGCTGTGACACTTGGTGCCTTATTACCCAGAATAATCAGCACGCTCATACCTGGAAACATGGTTCAGTATGGTTATTTGGGGAGTGTAACAGGCAAGCCGCTTGCGCGGATGACTCTTATTGGAATGAGCCCGGGTGCATGTGCTACCAAGTAGACAGACGGGCTACGTCAAGGAGACACACGAACTGTAGTAGGGCAGAGAGGATGCTGCGGTATAAGAGTGGAATTGTAAACTAACTAGGTGATTCCAACGAATCTCCAAAGCTGAATAAGAAAAGAAAAAAGAACAAAAAAAGGAGAGCGAGAGAGTCTTGAGCTCCCGAGCTTGCCACTGCTAATCTCGCTTTGTTGGCCGGTCCCGCCATTGGCAGCTTGTCGGTGGAGGCGAGCGCAGCCGAGCCATTCCCAGGCCTAGGCCGCTACAGCGCGCGGGTCAATTTATTTGATAGTTTATTTAATATGATTTAATTTAAGGGTAGTGCTGAGTCACCAGCCTAACGTTACCTACCTTAATGCCACTAAGTACCCCTACCTGTTGCCTGTCGCTGTTGAATATCCCAACCCTCCGGATGAGTTTATTAGGACCGCATCACGTATGCAAGACGCGAAATAATTGCAAATAAGGGGTGCCGTCTGGGTCCATTACACAGGCTACAGCTGGAAGTACGGTCTCCAATACATTCGATCTAGTGATAAGAAAGAAGTGTATTACTGCCACGAGTGTGTGGTAGGAAAGTACAAGTAAGAATTATTTGTTATCAATGGCACCTCTAGAGTCAGGAATCATCGTGAGCAGAAGCATCACATTGAATCCCACACTGACATGAGGAGAAAAAGCTGCGCATAGAAGTCTGACAAGAGTGATGATCAGGACAGTCATCTTAACACTCATTTACACACACTCATTCTTCTACGGTGGGCAATAGGATACACTGGGACAAAACTCCCATGGGGGCGTAATGTACTTCACTTACCTCAGGCACTCAGACCCACCCACTATGCGCCCAGACGCGATGAATCACGTGGTTCTCCCACTTAGTGGGTGGGTCTCAGTGCCTGCGGTAATTGTAGATCCGTATCCCTTCGGCTTTGGAAAAGGAGCAAGCTGGTATTTTGCAGGGGCTCTGTCCAATCACGTAGCGGCAAATTTCAAGGTATTTCTACTTAGTGCGTATCCCCAGCGATCGTGAAAGTCCTGTGGAGTACGCCTGTACCGGGGAAGACTCTCTTGCTAGGGAGATAGCCTAAATTATGCCGTGATAGGTGACTCGTGGTGACTGGTGATATGACCCAGTTTTTTTCATATTTCTTTATAAAAATACATAACTTTAACTACCCTGCTTAACCCCCTAGTTAGCCACGATCTAACCCTAGTTAACGAAGTACCTTTTCTGACAGGGGCATAAAAAAGCGTCTTATATAGCTAAAAAGAGCTCTTTTACGAGTCACCTATACTCCTCACAAATCTGGTGATTTAGGACTTAAGGTGCTGTACGGCTGCTGTACTGGCTGTACAGACAGGGGATAGACTGGTACTTTGTGCTGTGGCCCGCTATTCCCCACCGTGGCCAGCCCTGTGGGTTCTCTTCGATGTATCCCGAGTCACTAGTCACCTGTCACCAAAAAACTCAAGATCACGGCATAAGTAGTTGGTCTAAATCTAGTACCTTTCCGTCTCTCACCCTTGTGGATCCCGTGACCTGCTTGCTCCTTTTCCACAGCCAAAGGGATAATCTCTGATCAAGGTCGCGCGGCAGTGGATGAGCCCCAAGAGTCAAGGCTCTTTCACTGCCTTCCGTCGGAAACGTAACTCTTAATACTCGGCCCCCTCAGACGGAACCAAAAGAGTGGGCGCGTGGCACGAGTCCACGACTAGCTGCCAAGTGTCATCTTGTCAAACTCGCTGAAACGTGCGCTCGAATGTTCGTTCATGCGAATGACGAGATGGAACGACACCTGGTCTTCACTTTCACCGCGCCCCCAGAGGTGCGCGATTAGGCATTTGGAGTTGGATACTTAGAACAACCTCGTCTAAATATTATGCAAAGACCAACAACAAGTAAAGTAAAGTAGGCTGTTAGGCAGGTCAGTTTAAAAAATAATTCGATAGTACTATAATAGTATAACTAACTACCGTTATTGCCAGTATCTATCTTACTCAGATATATTGGCGAACCTAAACGCTGCCCCCTGAGCCGGTCTACTTCGGCCTTAGGCAGCTTACTAAATTCTTCACTCTATGCCGACTAGGATATGCCGACTGGGGTCAATACGAGCTCTAAATAGACTCTAACTAGCTAGACAACGTTTGTTGCGTGAATAAATAACAGTAGAGTACGAGTCCCGAGTAAACATATGACTCGACTATAAGATTTAGCATAAATAGCAGAGGGATTTAACTCCTTACCATAGCCGAAATGTAAAAAGGAAGCTTATTCTAGCGCAAAGGGTACACACCTGAATTGTACTGTAATCTTGAGTTTTTTAGTGAGGATACATCGAAGAGGAACCTATAAGGCTGGCCACAATAGGCCACAGCGGGCTATAGTATAAAGTACTAAACTTTATTAACTAGGGTTAGATTATAGCTGACTAGGGGGTTAACTAGGGTAGTAAAAGTTATGTACTTTTGTGACAAATTATGCAAAAAAACCCACTCGAGTCAACTACTCACCACAAGTCACTGTGGTAAGAAAAACTTAAGATCACGGTATAAATACGAACTGCTAGTCTTTATGTCAAGCGATATAAACTAGGGTGTGCATTACTGTACGGAACAACCGTGATTAAATGGCGTGATAATATTAGTATAAATTCCATCGTAAATAATAGTACCTAGAGCTTCTATCACTACTAGGCAAAGAAAATATAAAAGCTGCCCGATTCTTGTCGTCGTCTACATCTCTAGAGACTTTTGCATCATCCTCTTTAGTCGGTCAATTGCCTTGCCCTCGGCCAGAAATTCAGTCATCTTTTTTTTTCCTATTTTTCAATTTTGATTGTCCAAGCCTTTTCATCATTTCGACATGAAGGGTTTCGCATTCACCGTTGCTGCCGTGCTCTCGGGCCAGGCACTCGCTATCCCATCCCATCTTCAGGATAAGCGTGCTGAAGCTGACAATGGTGCAAAGCTTCCGGATGAAACAGATGTCTATGGAGCCTGGGTTAGTGGTTGCGGTTCCATGTCAACCGCTTACTGCACCAACTATGTGTGGCCTGAATGTATCCACCTGTTTAGCGATGCCAGCAGCAAGGCACAACGCCAGCAACTCTCTCAAGCCGACCTCGACAAGTTTGAAAAGGACGTCAAGGCTTGCATCAAGCTGAGAGATCCTGCGACCAACGAAGGGTTATGCTACGATCTCAAGCTTTCCAAAGAATCCTGTCAAAAGTATCGTCAAGAATGTCGAAAGAAGAACGAGCATAAACTCAACCCCGAGCAAGGATACACAGAGGACTCTTTAATCGCGGCAATCGCCAAGTGTATCAGAGAGAAACCCCAGGACCTGAGCCAAGAGCAACCAACCACAACGGCTGGCACACAGGAACCTACAAAGTCGCTGGAGCAGCAACCGCAAAAGACTGTAAGTAAATAGATAATCCCCTGGTTCCCTTTACACATGGAATGGAGGACTAACCTCGATAAAGTCGTCCCTATTACCGTTTATTAGAGAAGATAATCTCTCTGATATCTGCCTTCCTGGGCAATTCGAGAAGTGTATGGGAACAAAGAAGTATTGCGAGCTTAAAGTATGGAATAAAGAAGAGGAACCCAAGAAGTATGCAAGCACGGAAGAATGTCGTGCAGACCGCGAGCCTCAGGAATCCTAAGCTAGAGGACTTCAACCATGCCCAGGATGACAAGAACAGCAAGAGGAATCGTGAATGCAAAAAGGTTTACCGGCACTGGAAGGGGCTGGAACATACTTGGGCAAGGTTGTACGTACAACGCGTTGTACAACGCTCTGTGTAGTATAGATCAAAATGTGTTGTATGATAACTACACGTTGTTGGCTGTTGTAATGTAGCTAACCCCGCGACACAAATTTCGGTTATTACTTTTTATAGACGTCTCGGCATCTGTCTTTCTAAACTGGTCATATGGTTTTGTGGAAATTAGACAAGGCATTACACAGTTATACAGTCAACTTTCTTCTATCGCCCTAGTGTATTAGGGCTCCGGGTCACGGCTTCTTCGCATGCTTCGTGAACTTGATGTCTATCAGGTGTTGAGGAGGGCAGCAAGAAGCCTTCAGGAAAAGATATGACGGGCCAGAAATACTTCAATAATAATACTTGGCAGTACAGTGTATAATCGTGTACGTCGACTGTGCCTATCGACGAGAATAACACCTCTTACACTCCCACCTCAGGACTGAAAGGATTTAGCTTGTACAGGCTGGATACGAAACGGCATTCACAACATCTATTTTCTTCTTGACTTGTCTCTCTTGTTGCGGCAAGTCGCTCCTGAGTGAGCGCAAATCGCCACAAAAGGCATACGTAGTAAATTGTCCCGCGGCCCCCGGAGACCCCATCGCGACCTCACGGGATTGCCGTACACGACGCTATAGATTATTCATCCGAGTGTGACTATCAGGTACAACAAGAAGACCAGCACTCCTGTCACCAGATTATTGCGAGACCCTGGATCATTACCGACTTTATCGCATGCTTCTTGCATTGATTGGATACCTTCTGTCTCTCCTCGAATATTTTTCTTATTAGAGTGAAAAAAAAAAAAAACACAATTAAGACACAGACAAAGTACAACTGTAGATGCTCTCCTCGTCCCGATAGGGTCGTGTTCTGTGCTCAACAACAATCGTCAGCACTTATTCGAATGTGACGGAGCCAACGCAGTCAAGGCATGCACTTTGCCCTCAGCAGCAGCCTCTGCCGAAAACACTTCTTACGGGAGAAGTGACTGCCAGCTATCCATTGCGACGCACGAGCGAAAACTGAGTCATGCCCACCAAGGTACCAGTGACCGTACCACGAGATGTCCACACTTGTCTATCGTATTCAGCTTTGCCATCTCGGCCAGTCGTCTGCTTTGTGGCGGACTGGCGCGTTATGCAAA